CCCACCACCTCTATCTCCCTCTCTCCCTTTCTCCCCTCCCATCCCGTTCTGCCACCGCCCCCTCTTTTTCTCTTTTTTCCCTCCCCACCCTCCCACCCAGCCTCCAGGTTCCTACATCCAATCATTTAGGACAAAACTTCACATCTGAAGTTGTAAAAGCTTCAGTTCACTACCACATGAGTCCCTGGATAGGAAACACTGCCACGTTCCTAGTTGGCTGGCAAGAGTGCTAAATGACAACTAGGCAATATCCTCCAAAACCACAAATGTGCATGTGCTTTGACCTGGCAAATCAGCTTCTAGGAACCTAGGGAACTGATACTGTCACAGGCGTGGGAAATGGTGTGGACATGGTCACTCATCAGAGGATAGTTTGCAAATGCAAAGAGTTGGAAACACCCAAAGGGCTCATCTGCTGAGGACAGGTTCACAATTTATTGTGGGTTCGTGCACTGGAATGCTGCATAGCTGTGAATGAATGAACCAATGAATGAATGAATGAATGCTATGTCCTTGCCTAGAAAGATCACCAAGATTTGTTGCTAGGTAAAAAGCAGGAAGAGGCAGAACAATGCTACTATTTTTTTTTTCAGTGTGGGAGGAAAGAATAAGGAAATTATGTATAAGGAATATATATAATATTTATATATGTATATAAGGAAATTTGTATATGTATGTATATATAAGGAAAATACATATACAAAATAAATTCCTTATATACATAAGAAAAGAATAAGGAAATATGTTCATATTTGCTTAATTATACAAGCTTCCAGATGATTCTGTTAAAACACAAATCTGATCTCATTGGCTCAAAACCCTCCAAAGTCTTCCGATCTCTTAAAATGTCAATGTTTTATCCTGACCTGTTCTTGTGATTGTTCAGTTGCTAAGCTGTATCTGACTTTTTTCGACCCCATGGACTGCAGCTCACCAGTCTCTCCTGTCCTTCATTATCTCCAGAGTTTGCTTAGATTCATGTCCATTGAGTTGGTGATGCTATCTAATCATCTCATCCTCTTCTGCCCTCTTCTCCTTTGGCCTTCAATCTTTCCCAGCATCGAGGTCTTTTCCAATGAATCAGCTCTTTGCATCAGGTGGCGAAAGTATTGGAGTTTCAGTTATAGCAGCAGTCCTTCCAAAGTATATTCAGGGTTGATTTTCTTTCGGATGGACTGATTTGATCTCCTTGCAGTCCAAGGGACTCTCAAGAGTCTTCTCCATCACCACAGTGCAAAGGCATCAATTCTTTGGTGCTCAGCCTTCTTTATGGTCCAGTTCTCACATCCATACATGACTACTGGAACAAACATAGCTTTGACTATACAGGCCTTTGTTGGCAAAATGATGTCTCTGCTTTTTAATATGCTGTCAAGGTTTGTCATAACTTTCCTTCCAAGGACCAAGCATCTTTGAATTTCATGGCTGTAGTCACCATCCACAGTGATTTTGGAGCCCAAGAAAAGAAAATCTGTCACTGCTTCCACTTTTTCCCCTTCTATTTGCCATGAAGTGATGGGACCGGATTCCATCATCTTAGTTTTGTAATGTCCTTGTCTCCTTTGCTTGTCTTATTTTTCTTCATAGCTTTTACCATCCCCTGGTATGTATAGTACCTGTCTACCTTTTTATTATCTTCCTCTCCCCCACTCTCATCCAACCCAGGACCTCCAGAAGGGCAGGAACTCTGTTTCTTGAACATCGCTGTATCTTTAGCACCTAGGACAGGGCCAAACACACAGTAGGTGCTCAATCAACATGTATTGCTTGAATTAATACAAAGAGCAAAGGGCCATGGTGGGAGAGCCCAGGGAGCTGTGAGAACCAGAGGAAGGTGGTTTCAATGGGACACCAGAGCACTCTCAGGGCTCAGAGGTGGAAAGGGCCTGGAGTGGGGGGGGGGGGGGNAGGCAACTCCTTAACTCCACCCACCCATTCCAGCTGGCCCCCTTCTCTCTCCATCACGGCCTTGCCCAGCCATATTCAGACCTGCAACAAGATGTTTGATTTTATTAATTTATTTTATTTTCGTTGTGCTGGGTCTTCATTGCTGCACACAGGCTTCCTCTAGTTGGGCCTAGATGGGGCTTCCCTTGTTGCCGAGCACAGGTTCTAGGAGCATGGGCTTCAGCAGTTGTGTGGTGCAGGTTCAGTAGTTTCTGCTCATGGGCTCTAGAGCACAGGCCCACACGCTCCGAGGCATGTGGAATCTTCCCACAGGCTCAAACCCATATCCCTTGCATTGGCAGGAGGATTCCCATTCACTCTGTGTGTGTGCCAAGTCGCTTCAGCCATGCCTGACTCTTTACAACGCTGTGGACCGTAGCCCACCAGGCTCCTCTGTCCATGGGATTCTCCAGGCAAGAATACTGGAGGGCAATGCCCACCAGGGAAGTCCAAGACATTTTATTTAATTCAGAGATTTTGACAGCCTGGAGCTTTTGGCCTTCCCAAGTATTTATCGACTCAAAGGGTTTTTCCTTGGGAATACCAGCCACCAAAGGACCTTCCCCTCCTAATGACCCTCACCACATCCTAACCCTATCCCCAAGGCCCTCCCTTTTTGACCCCATCTTTGACTTCATCCCTAACCTTCACTCCATCCCTGACCCTCAGCCCTGCCTTGACCCCACTTTTCAGCTTCAACAACAGAGCCTATGGTATCCACATTGCATGAATTGTTCAGGACCAAGGTTCTAATGGTCTGATTTGAAGCAGAGGCCCCACTCTTGTTGCCAGGAAGTCAGATGTCCAGTGAGGAGAAGACAGAATGTGGGGTGACTTGGGCCCCAAATATGACGTCCAAACATTGGTGAGGACAAGGGGGCAGCCGCTAACCATCCAGAGTCAGAGAGGTGGCTACTGAAACCACAGTAGCCGTAGCTGGGAGCCCTGGGAGGAGGGGGAACCCCAGAGGTGACATCACAGCTCAGGGAGGAACAAGGCAACAGGCAGTTTCCCAGTTTGGAAATTACTCACAGGCTCCGGGCAAGAGTGCCAGAAAATTCAGAGATTTCCCCGAGACCCGCTTCCACATTTCCATTCAGAAATTCACTTACGTACATGCAGAGCGAGAGACACCCAGCATCAGAACCACCCATCCACGGCTGTGTGCCAGGAGTTGGCTGCTCCGGGACCAAGCAGAGAGGACAGCAAGAAGCAGTATCCTCCGAACTGGCCAAAGTCCAAAGGGGGAATTTTCTAGAAAGACACGAGGATGTCACAGAACAAGGGTCAGAATTGCTAGTGGGCCAGGTGGGGACCCTGGCTAGGATGAACAGGACTGGGGACGAGGAAGTCTCACAAGGTTTATATCTGAGCACAGCGCCGTCTGGGTCTCTCTGTCACCTCTTGATTCTCTCCCACCTTCCCCTCTGTCCTGTGTTTCTGTATCTTTGCGTCTTTTTTGTTTTCTCTTTCTCCCCATCTCCCAGTGACTATCTCTGAGAGTGAATTTATCTCCATTCGTCTGTCATTCGTTTCTCCCATCTCTCTCCCCTCTATGTTCGTCCCTGACCGTTATCACCTCCAGACATGATGCTATTCTCTGTATTGCTCTTTTAGTGGTCTGTTTCCTTCCACTAGAAGTGGGCTTCATGAAGGCCGGGATTTTTGTCCGTATTGCTTTCTGCTGTGTCCCCTGTGCCTGGATTACTGCCTGGTTCAACAAGTACCTGTGGAATGATAACTGAATGAACTGTCATTCTCATCTAAGTGAGGATATTAATAATCAATGCCATCAGTATTATTTTATAATAACTGTAAAGCAACATGAGTTGTTATTTGTGATCACGGCTGTTTACTGAGTACAAAATATATATCAGAAATTGGACCAAGTGTTGCAGAGAAGAAGCCAATTCTGACTCCATGTTGAAACTGTTTCTTTGACTTGCTTTTTGTTGCTTTTGTTATTATAATCATACAGAATGGCTGACCTCAGAGAATCCTGCCCCTCTGCCTGACTGTTAAATTAAGGGTTTAATTTAATTAATTGTAAGGGTTTGGTCCACCTATCCATGGCAGGAGGAAATGAACACATTCCCTGCCTCAGGCTTGCTATTCTGGGAGATGTTTGCAAGATTAATGGCTTTTTTACTTTGCCTCCTCAACTCCTCCCATCTCTGATCTATAAAAGAACCTGGCACCCAGACCCCATAAGATGGTTATTTTGAGGCACTAGCCTGTCATCTTACTCAGGAGAGAAACCGAATAAAATCTCTTCCTTGCCTCAACCCCTGATCTGATTCATTGGCCTGTTTGGCAGGGAGCAGAACCAGCTTGGACTCGGTAACATAAGCAGTTGCATGTTTAAGTCTTTACAAACAGACTGGGTATAGTTATCCTGTCCATTTTTCAGATGAGAAAACTGAGGCCCCAAGAGGAGAGGCAACTTGCCCAATGTGACCCCAGGGGTGGCAGCTTTGGTGGTTAGGAACGCAGGATCTGTCCCCATGATAGACTCGAATCCCTGCTCTGTCCCTGAACTTTAGAAAGTCGAGGAACCTCTTTGCCAGCGCCTCCGTTTCCTCGGGGCTCAGCGGTAAAGAACCTGCCTGCAGCGCAGGAGGAAACCCCAGTTGGATCCCCGGGTGGGGAAGACCCCCTGGAGAAGGAAATGGCTGCTCGCCGCAGTACTTCTTGCCTGGGAAATCCCATGGACAGAGAGAAGCCTGGCGGGCCACAGTCCGTGGGGTCCCCAAGAGTAGGACCCGACTCAGCGACTTAAGCAACCACACATCCGAACCCGAGTGCTAGGGAAGTCACCGTCGTAGGTGACGTCAGTGGGGTGTAGCGAGGGGGCGGAGGGAGGGGCAGTGCCCTGCGCCTCCACGGGCGCCGGGGGAGCCAGACGGGTACCTGCGAGGGCGCCCATTTCTACTTCTTCCTCGCTGCTAGTCCGAGGAGGTCCTCCCCGAGGCTGCGGCGGCTGAGTGAGGCCGGGATTCCTGCCCAGAAGGTGCGGAATCAGCACGAGCCGCGCCCGCGCGGCTGGCAGAGCGTGCGGACTCCCGGCTCGAGCGGAGGAGGCCGGGCGCGTCCTGCCCAGCGGTGCCGAGAGGAAGCCGGCATGGCCTCTACTTTTCTCTTCACTCGGCGGCTGCTGCTGCTGCAGTTCCTGCTGCCGTTGTTCTGGGCGCCCCTGGGAGCCGGTGAGTGACCCGTCGGGATCAGGCGACCCCCGTTCCCCCTCTCCCTCTCCACAGGCCCGGGCGCTCGCCCCACCCTAAGTTGCTCGCTGCCCTTCGCCGCCCGCCCGCTCCCCTCCGCCCCAGCGATGCAGGAAAGCCGGGCCTGGACCAGACTCTTCTGATAGCTTCCCGGAAAACCGCCGGACTTCGGGAGATTTCTGAAGGGCAGGGCGGGCAGGCCTCCGGGGAAAAATAAGGCGGAAGGTGAACTTTCTTCGTGCCACACCTGCCCGGGCAGCACACCCGCGCACCTGCTCGCCGTATGAGCGCACCCTTCTCCCCAGCCCTTAACAGCCAGCTAACAGCCACCGAGGATACTTGATGAGGGGAAGGAGGGCAGCGGCAGATAACCCCGTTCTCTTGTTCCCCTTCGACCGCGTCTGGCTCTAGGCCGCGGCCATTCATTCATTCATTCACGCATTCATCCCACACACATTTATTGAGTGCCTACTGTGGGCCGCGTTCCGCTTACTGGGAGTATAGCTCTGACGTCAGACAGCGGTGAGTTCAAAATAGCTTTTGGCATTTAACGCCTGTGTGAGCTCAGGAAAATGACCTGAGCTCCCTGTTTCCCTGAAATGTCTACTGGGGGCTGGGAGGAAGAAGGAGAGGAGAGTGGAATCCCACCTACCTTGTAAGATAGTGTCTTGGAAACACCCTGAGCTAGATGCACTGAAGAAAAACAATAATGACTGTGATGACTCACATGAACAGTAATAATACTGAACACAGACTCGAGGGATTCTCCTCATTTCCCAGAAGGTCTCAACCCAGGCCCTGCTCCTCGCTTGCTGGTTTACCCAGGCAGGTAGCTTGACCATGCAAGGCTCACTTGACCCCCCTGTCCAATGAGGGTGAAAATCCTAGTGCTAGGAGTGCGGATCTCATGGACCTTGGAGAGGGTTGGAGGACTGGCCCACAGTGAAATTTGGGCCTGGCTATGACACAGGGTATAAACCTAGAGAAAGGCCACTTCACCCAGTGTCATCCTCACAGAGGTCTTACCATCAGAGAAGGAGACACGCTTGCCCAGAGCTGCACAGCACATCCATGGATGAGCTGGCATTCGATCCGAGACTAGGGTCCTTAGCTCACCATTCAGTCGCCTCGTGTCCAGACCATGTCCCCCCTCCACACGCCTTGCTCCAAGCACCCCAGTCCACTATGTCCTGACCTCCTCTTCCTCGTAGTAATAATTATAATATTCACCAGTATAGAGTGCTTGGCATATGTCTTTACATAAATTTCATCATTTAGTCCTCCCAACTCCCTCTGAAGTTACAACCACCCCCATTTTACAGATGAGAAGATGGAGGCTCAGAGGAGTGAAACCACGGGCACAAAGGCCACAGTTTGTGAGTGAAAGGACTGACATTCAAAGCACTTAACTCCTTCTTGCCTTCTCCTTTATCCCTATTATTATTAATAAGGATGTTTATTAATTATGTTTATCAATATGGATAAAAGTCAACACATATTGAGGATCTAGTGTGTGCTGGGACTCTAGGGAGAATGATTTTCATATGGAGTCTGTGGATTAGAGATCAGGAGTTTTGATTGAAGATGGCCCAGGTTCAAATCCCACCTTTGCCATTTGCCCTCAGCGTGACCTGCAGCAAAAGACTCTGTGCTTTGGATTTCCCCTCTATAAAGTGGGGCTGACAGTGGTGCTTTGCCTCAATATGCTGCTTAAGTACTAAATGCTGGGAGATGTGTGAAGCACTTTGAACAGCTCCTAATCTGTGTAAGCAACCCCAGAATGTTAGCTGTAATTAGTCCTATTTTACAAACTAGCAGTAAAGAATCAGAGACGGTAAGGAATCTGCCTGAGGCCCTCACAGCAGAGAGCTGAGGGGATCCAAAACCTTGGGGCTATAATCACCTCCCTTCTTTTTAAAAAAAAAAAAAAAAACATTTTTTAAAAAATGTGGACACTTTTTAATGGTCTTTATTGAATTTGTTGCAATCCTGCTTCACTTTTATGTTTTGGCTTTTTGGCTGTAAGGCATGTGGGATCTTAGCTTCCTGACTAGGGATCAAACCTGTGCCTCCTGCATTGGAAGTCTTAACTACAAGACCACCAGGGAAGTCCCATCAACTCCCTTCTCATGCTTGGACCCCCTACAAACATTTTCCTAACCCAAGGCCACAAAGAGTAATAATACTACTTTATTTCATGGATCCTAAGACATTGAATTTCTTCCCCCTTGTATGTGTGTGTGTGTGTGTGTGTGTGTGCGCGCGCACGCATACTCAGTCATGTCCAACTCTTTGTGACGCCATGATTTGTAGCCTACTAGGCTCCTCTTCCATGGAATTTTCCAGGCAAGAATGCTGGAGCAGGTTGCCTTTTCCTACTTCACTTGATCTTCCCCACCCAGGGATTGAACCAGCATCTCCTGCATTGGCAGGTGGATTCTTTACCACTGAGCCACCTGAGAACCCCTTCCTCTCCTTCCCATACCTCTAAATCGGAAATGCTCTAAGAGCATCCCAGTGCATCTTAAAATTGATGACTGGAGTTAACAGAAAAGTTTTGGAACTAGATAGTGATGCTGTCTGCACAACATCATGAATGTACTTAATTGCCACTGGATTATATGTTCTAAAGTAGTTTAAGAGGCAAATTTAATTTTTTAACCACAACACGGACCACAATTTTAAAAACTGACGATGCTGAGATAGAGGCTATACGGTAATAACAACCCAATTGTGTGTGGGGGGAGGCAGGGAACCGGACCCAGTTGCAGACCCAGTCCAGCCCCCATCTCATCCTCACCCCTGGACCAGGACTGGTGCTCCGCATCCCCATTCCCCTCAACACACAGACACCCAAGGGGCTCCAAGCTCCAGGAGCCCCCTACCCCATCCAGATCAGGGACACTCAGATGTGACCCACCCTGTGTTTCCCCGCAGGGATCAAGATAATCACAGTGCAGGCCCCACTCCAGGTGTCCGGCTTCCTGGGAGAAACCGTGATACTTTCATGCCAACTATACCCCCTGGAACACGATGTGACGGTGACGCAAGTGACCTGGACAAAACAGAGACAGGCAGAGCTCGCCCGCAGCGTGGCGGTCTTCCACCCTGCCCAGGGCCCCAGCTTCCACGAGTCCAGCCGGTTGGAATTCACGGCCGCCAAGCCCGGTGAGAAGCTGTGGGACGCCTCGCTGGTTGTGCGGGAGTTGCGCGTGGAAGATGAAGCTAATTACACCTGCCAGTTCGCCACGTTCCCTAATGGTGACAAGAGCGCTCGAACCCTGCTCCGTGTGCTCGGTGAGCTGGGAGGAGGGAGGAGCCGAAAGGGAGGGATGTGGAGTGGGGTAGGGAGGTAGGCAAATAGAGGGAAGGGCCCAGGAGGGAGGGAGAAATTCCGAGGGAAACAAGACGGAGGTAGGGCAATGACCCTGCGGGATGCAGGGGAGGTCCAGGGATGTAAGATCTTGGAGGCTGTGGGCCAAGGGGATTGGAGGGTCTGGGGATGCTGGTGGTATAGGGGAGAGTGGCTGATGCAAGAAGTAGGTGGGGACAGAGACTGGCCTGGGAAGCTGGGAAGCCACTGCCAGCTTGGGCAGGTGGATTCATCTTGAAACCTGCTTTCTTCATCTGTAAAAGAGGCTTAGTAACAACAGTGCTGCCTTCAGAAAGCTATCCTGAGGGTCCAAAGCAGTTCATCCAGGTGAACCGCTTAGAGTAGAGACCTATGTGGGCTGGGGATAGTCGGTCAGTTACTGTTACTCCCTTTGGTGAGGAAGTGAGTGAGTAACTGCTTAGTCGTGTCCGACTCTGTGACCCCAGGAACTGCAGCCCGCCAGGCTCCTCCCTGTGGGATTTCCCAGGCAAGAGTACTGGAGTGGGTGGCCATTTCCTGCTCCAGGGCATTTTCCCAGCCCAGGGATCGAACCCATGTCTCCTGTCTCATGCATTGCAGGCTGGTTCTTTACCCACTGAGCCAAAGGGAAAGTTGAAATAGACTGGGAGGGGAAGATTCTGATATCCAGGAGTAGAGGGCTTTCTCCAACCAGGGAGTGGGAGGGGAGAGCATGCCGTTGGCATTGTCATGGAAACATACGTTCATTTTTATGAGTACCAGAGAAAATATGACAGGCCTTCCTCTTGGCAACTGAGTACGAAGTCTCTTTGCCTGTTTTCTCATCTGTGAAATGGAGATCGCTGTGAGGGTGAATAAGAACTTCCTTATTTGCTTCTTTTTTGTTGTTGTTTCTTTTTTGCTTCTGTGTCAGGAACTGTTCTGGGTCTTGTATGAATGACTCACCATTCTCCAGGGGGTCTTCCCAATGCAGGGATCAAACCTGGGTTCCCTGCATTGCAGGCAGATTCTTTACCATCTGAGCCACCAGGGGAGCTCACTATCACTTTCTGTGTCAGGAACTGTCCCGGATCTTGCATGAATGACTCATGAAAGGTTAATTCCTTGGAACAGTGCCTGACACATGCCCCCAACCAAAGGCATCTTTCATCATTTCAGAAAACTTAAGACCTCAGGTCTTATGATTTAGGATGAGAGTAAAACAGAACTGGTGAGTCAAATTAAAGAGAAATCTTGGGTAATAAGAACACAGGTACCGAGGGAAAAGGAACCACTTGAAATCCCAGGTCTGGGAATCACCAGAAAGATGAAGAAACGGGCAAGGTAGTTTTGGAGTCAGACAGACCTTGTGGGAAGATCCAGTTCTGTCATTTACGACTATGGAACCTTGAGCCAGTCACTCTTGCCTGAATCTCCATAGCACAGCTCAGCCCTCCCCTCCTCCATGCAGCCCTCAGTAACCACCGCCCCCCCCCCCGAGATTCAGGCACCCCTTCCGGGATCCCCCATCCCAGCCTTGCCCAGTCTGAGTCATCACTGTCTGGGGAAATCCGTCTTCCCTTCCACAGTCCACCCCATGAAGGCAGGGGTAGGGCTGTCTCAGTCCTTCCTGAGTCTTCAATACTGCCCATCACAGAGCCAGGCACCGTATTCAATTACCAATCATAATTACATATATTGAGCACTTATTACCTGCCAAGTACCGTTTTAAGAGCTTTACCTATAAATTCTCATCGCTGGTCATCCTCCCCTTATCTCCAGTTGACAGACAAGGAAACTGAGGCACGGACTTGCCCAAGGCCACCCTGAGACTGGGGCAGAGCAGGGATTTGAACATGGCCACATCTGGTATCCTCATCTCGGCACTCCCCTGCTGCTGAGACGTTTGTTGCATGACTGTTGGTGAGGCGTAATCCATGTCTTTTGCTCCTCTTCTCAGCCAAGCCCCAGAACAAGGCTGAGACCCTGGACATCTCACTCAGCCCGAACCCTGTGCCAGTGGCCCGCTGCGTCTCCGTAGGAGGTCACCCACCTGCCCGCATCTCCTGGTCCTCAGATGGAAAGACCAATACCACCCAGGTGCCAGGGCCCCTGCCCGGCACCGTCACCGTCATCAGCCTCTTAATCTTAACACCTTCCAGCCAGATGGACGGCAGAAACGTCACCTGCAGAGTGGAGCACGAGAGCTTTGAGGAGCCCGAGGTGCTTCCCATAACCCTTGCTGTGTCTGGTGAGTGGGTCTAAGTGTGAGCAAGGACGGGAGGGGCTGCCAGACTGTCTCCATCCTCCCCCTGCCATTGGCCAGTTGTCTCCACCCTCTCCCTGCCATTGGTCAACTGTGTCCACACTCTCCCTGCCATTGGACAGCTGTCTGCACCCTCCCCCTGCCATTGGCCAGCTGTCTCCACCCTCCCCCTGCCATTGGACAACTGTCTCCACCCTCCCACTACACTGACTCCGAGGGGCACTTTCAACATTACATCATTTCATCATCAGAGCTGACTCTCTGACTCTTGCCTTAACACCCATCCCCACATCATCTACACCGACTCCCCTGGGCCATAGATAACCCTGTCCTTCATTGTCTATATCAGCTTCTTTTTTTTTTTTCCTTTTGGCCATACCACAGGGCATGTGAGATCCCTGTGCCTACGTGCATGCTGTCACTTCAGTCGTGTCGAACTCTTTGCGACCCCATGGACTGTTCCAGGGTCTTCTGTCCATGGGATTCTCCAGGCAAGAATACTAGAGTGGGTTGCCATGCCCTTCTCCAGGGGATCTTCCCCATCCAGGGAGTGAACCCGAGACTCTTATGTTTCCTGCATTGGCACCACATGGGAAACCCTTTAGTTCCCTGACCAGGGGTCAAACCCATGCCCCGTGCAATGGAAGCGCTGAGTCTTAAACACTGGACTGCTAGGGAAGGACTCTGCCAGCTTCTTATACCACAGTTCACACTGCTCCCTGGGGGCCGCTGTCTACACGGACACCCCACGTACACTCTCTTGAGCCCGCACACAGTGCCTACACCCTCTTCCCTGGGCAACTGTCCACACTGACCTTGTGCACACTGCTACACTGCTTCCCCACCATCAGTACCAACTCCCTTGTGTTTCCTACGCTGCCATAATATCGTCTGGGCTTCCCAGGTGGCGCTACTGGTAAAGAATCTGCCTGCCAATGCAGGAGATGCAGGTTTGATCCCTGGGTCGGGAGGATCCCCTGGAGGAGGAAATGACCACCCACTCCAGTATTCTTAGAAAATTCCACAGACAAGAGGAGGCTGGTGGGCTACAGTCCATGGTATCGCAAAGAATTGGATGCTACTGAGCACACACACACACTATTGTCTACACTGGCTCCTAAGGGCCCCAGACAGCATTGCCCTCACTGTCTACACCACTCCTTTAGGCCACCAGCTGAAGGCAGTTGGCAGTTGACCACTGCTGCCTTGACACCCTGCATTTTCTAGATACTCTCTCACACCGACCCACAACATTGTCTACACTGGCTGTCCTGGAGAACTGCCTACATTGTCCCCACCCCCACCCCCCGTGTAGTCTACATTCCCCTTTGCTCCACTGTTGTCTGCACTGGCTCATCTATGGACTGGGTCCTCCCGTCACTGTCTGGACTGACTACTCCCTGCCTGACAGTTGCTGCACTGTCTACACCCAACCCCCTCAACTGGATCTGAGTGAGGACGGTGCCTATACTGACTCCTTCCCAACACACATACAAAAACACCCTGTCTCATTGGCCTTCCCCCTGGAGACTTTAAAAATCTTCCCTGTTGATCACATTTGGGTTGGGTAAGACGCAGACTGAAATGCGGTCATCCAGGATTCTCTTCTGCAGGACTTGTCAGAGCCTTGAATATGCTCACATGTGTTATGAACACCCAGAAGGAGGCTTTTTCTCACAGGACGTCCCAGGCATGCCAGGACCTGGCTTTATAGGGAAAACCAATAGAGAAGCAGGTCCTGAGAAGCGCTCTCTGTTACCCCCATCCTAGCACCCTGCTGAGGACTCCCAGGCTTCTATTCTTGGGGCAGAAGCTGGAACCCATTGCCCAGACCCCTCCCAGGCCTCTCCACTGTGAGCTGTTCCCCAAAGCCGCCAAGGCCCTCTTCCTGTTGTGACATGAATCCCAGCTATCTTTGGGCCCCTTGAAGTCTCCCTGTCTCTGAGCCTGTGTGTCTCTTTCACCCAGCCCCGCCCAAGGTTTCCATATCCGGCTATGATGACAACTGGTACATCGGCCGTAGAGAGGTTGCCCTGAACTGTGACGTCCGCAGCAAACCAGAGCCCACAGGCTACAACTGGAGCACGTGAGTTCCTGGGTCAGAGGAAGGAGGGGCTGGGGGCCTGGACTCCAGGGTCTGAGGGAGGAGGGGCCGGGGACCTGGACTCCTGGGTCTGAGGGAGGAGGGGTGTAGGCAGGAAAGTTAAAAACAAAACAAGAAGTCAACTGTGGGCCCCCAGGAAAATATCTTGTATGCACAGAGTTAATGAGGTGATAAAGTCCAGGTTTATCACCTGCTCTTTATGGGGTGCCTGCTGTGTGCCAGGTACTTACCTGTACCCCGCGTGATCCCCACTCTCTGGCCACAGTTTGCACTATCGCCAGGCCCAGGTTAAAGATCTGCCCAGGAGCTGTGGTCATCTGCCCGGGCACACGGGTATAGAGGTGACTGTCCTGTCGGCGTCTGGCTCCAAACCCAGTCCTCTTAAGCCCTGGGCTGTGCCACCTCCCCAGCCACCTTGTGTGACCTGCTCAGTGACCTCTTACAGAGCAAATACTGTCCCGTCCCCAATCTCATTTTTTAAAAATATCTATTATTTGGCTGCATCGGGTCTTAGTTGCGGCACGTGGGATCTTGGTTGTGGCGCACAGACGCTCTAGTGGTGGCATGCATGTCAGCAGTCGCAGCACACAGGCTCAGTTGCCCCAAGGCACGTGGGATCTTAGTTCCCCAAGTGAAAATCGCTCAGTCGTGTCTGACTCTCTGCGACCCCACGGACTATACAGTCCATGGAATTCTCCAGGCCAGAATACCAGACTGTGTAGCCTTTCCCTTCTCCAGGGGATCTTCTCAACCCAGGGATCGAACCCATGTCTCCCGCATTGTGGGCTGATTCTTTACCAACTGAGCCACAGGGGAAGCCCAAGAATGCTGGAGTGGGTAACCTATTCCTTCTCCAGGGGGTCTTCCCAACCCAGGAATCGAACCTGGGCCTCCTGCATTGCAGGCAGATTCTTTACCAACTAAGCTACCAAAATTCTTTACCAACTAAGCTACCAGGGATCAAACCCACATTGCAAGCCAGATTGTTAACCACTGGAAGCTACCACCAGGGAAGTAGCCCCCTCCTGATTTTCTTGATTGAGGAGCAGAGCAATCAAAAAACTTCCTCAAATTCCTATTGAGACCAAGGATAAGAGTGGGGAAAGATAAAGGCAAAGGGGTGAACAATTTAACCTAATTTTTATTGGGCCCAGTTTTTCTTATTACAAAAATAACTTTTGAGCACTGTAGAAACTCTAGGCAATATGGTTATGAGTAAAAAGAAGAAAATAGCTCCGATAGTCCTGTACCCAGTCATCTCCAGAAACATCACTCTTACCCTTTGTTGTATATCCTTCCTGTCCTTCTTTCAATATTTTTTTCTTTCAATATTTCTAAAAAAAAAGAGAGAAAGAAACTGTGCTGTATGTATAATTTTGAAAACTTTCCTCTGTCCATGAATACATTTCTTTCATTTTTGTTTCGTCTTTGCCACACCTCACAGCATATCTGATCTCAGTTCCCTGACCAGGGATGAGACCCACGCTCCTTTGCAGTGGAAGTGCAGAGTCTTAACTGCTGGGCCACCAGGAAAGTCCCTCTCGTGAACACCTTTCCAAGTCAGGGCACATAGATCTATTTTCCCCCAGCATATTATCAAGAAATGTTTCAAGCCTACAGAAGTCTTGTAAGCATTTTCCAGTAAACATTCAAAAGCCCACTATGTGGATTCTCTCACTAACATTTTCCTGGACTTGCTTTATCACATTCCTGCCCTTCAGTCCATCCCTCTTGCCAGCTATCCAACAGTCCTCATCATTTATGCATTTCAAAACCCCACCACCTGCTTCTTTGAGGGGCTAGGGCTCTGTCACAAGTGAGGGTGTCAATGACATAACCAGTCCCACCTGGGGATACAGAGGTGCTTTCCCGTTCTCAACTATGCAAATGTCGTGGTGGTGGGCATCCCCATCTGTCCACCTCTGTGGACAGCCAGTCACATCTCAATGGTTGGCCAGCGGAGCTGCCAATCAAAGGTTTTCGATTAGTATTGACAGCTGGCCTTTACCTTCCTGTCTCAAAGCACCGCAGTTCAGGCTCACGAACCATACAGCCAAGGTTTCCATGCCAGCCCTGCAGAATACCCAAACCCATGCCCTGGTCTCCTCTGTCCATTAAACCAGAGTTTCTTTCTTTATTTTTAAATATTTATCTATTTATTTGGCTGCACCAGGTTTTCGTTGTACCATGTGGGATCTAGTTCCCTGACCAGGGATCAAATGTGGGCCCCCTGAACTGGGAAGGTGGAGTCTTAGCCACTGGACCACCAGGGAAGTCCCTAAATCAGTGTTTCTTGACTACTTACTGTGTGTCGGATGCTACTGACCCAGGTGCTGCATGCTAAGTCACTTCAGTCGTGTCCGACTTTTTGTGACCCCATGTACTATAGCCCACCAGGCTCCTCTGTCCGTGGGATTCTCCAGGCAAGGATACTGGAGTGGATTGCCATTCCCTCCTCCAGGGGATCTTCCCCACCCAGGGACAGAATTCGCACCTCTTATGACTCCTGCATTGGCAGGTGGGTTCTTTACCACTAGCACCACCCACAGGCTTCAGTAAATGAAAAAGAACCAAATTTCCCCCTCTCAGATCTCCAGATCTGGGGAGAGAAACAAACAAGGTAATGTCAGAATTCCTTGCTGGGTCACAAGTTATGTTTCCACACTTTCACTGCCAAGGGCCCCTGGAGTTCAATCACAGGTCAGGGAACGAAGATCCCACAAGCTTTAGGACATGGCCAAAATTAAAAAAAACTTTTTTTTAATTTAAATAAAAATAAACAAGATACCATTTTTAAGGATGGAGTATGTCAGGTGGTGATAAGTGCCATGGGAAAGATCATGCAGAGGAGGTGGGGGGTCGCTACAGTTGAAAGAGGGTAACCAAGGAAGGTGTCACAAAGGTGATGGCTGAGTAGAGGACTGAAGGAGGTGAGAGTGAGCAGTTTGGGTACCAATGGGAAGGGCATTCCAGGCATAGGGAACAGCATTGCAAAGACCCTGAGGTGGGAACATAACTGAAGCGTTCCAGGGTCAACAAGTCAGCCACCATGGATGTAGAGGCAGGAGCAAAGGGGTCAGTGCGTCAGGGGGCCAGTTTGTGTGGGACCTGTGCCCGTGATCAGGACTTTTCCTTTATGGAAGGGCTCTGGACAGAGCGCTGAAGAACTGATGCTTTTGAAGTGTGGTGCTGGTAAAGACTCTTGAGAGTCCCTTGGACTGCAAGGAGATCAAACCAGTCCATCCTACAGGAGATCAACCCTGAATATTCATGGAAAGGACTGATGCTGAAGCTGAAGCTCCAATACTTTGGCCACCTGATGCAAAGAGCCGACTCATTGGAAAAGACCCTGATGCTGGGAAAGATTGTAGGCAGGAGGAGCAGAGGGCAGCAGAAGATGAGATGGTTAGATAGCATCATTGACTCAATGGACATGAATTTGAGCAAACTCCGGGAGATAGTGAGGGACAGGGGAGCCTGGAGGGCTACAGTCCACGGGGTCGCAAAGAGTCGGACACGACTCAGCAACTGCACAACAACAACTGGGCAGAGGAGAGACTTTGGTTATGTTCTTTTGTTTTTAATGTTTATTTATTTTTGGTCGAGTTGCATCTTAGCTGCTGCACGCGGGACCTTCCTTGCAGTGCGTGGGCCTCTCTCCAGTCATGGTGCGCGGGCTCCAGAGTCCGTGGACTCTGTGGTTTGCACAGACAGGTTCTCTAGCAGAGGCGCCTGGGCTCAGTAGTTGTGACTTGCAAGCTTAGTTGCCCCTCAGCATGTGAGATCCCAGTTCCCCAACCAGGGATCGAGCTCACGTCCCCTGGATTGATTGGCAGATTGGCAGGCAGATTCCTAACCACTGGACCACCAGGCAAGTCCATCTGTGCGGATTTTGAACGTGGGGCAGACAGGGTTTGCTGATAGGCTGGATGGGAGTGTGAGCGGCAGATTGGGGGAACTCCAGGCTTGCTCTGAACTTGTATTATAGATGGCGTGAGAGTTTCTATACAGTGAGTGCCCCAACACCAGTTACTCTAGGCCTCCGACTGAGACCACTTCCTCACCCATCTGTCTCTCCTAGGACCAACGGAACCCTGCCACCCTCTGCTGTGGCCCAGGGCAGTCAGCTCCTGATTCATACTGTGGACGAGACCATCAATGCGACTTTCATCTGCCTTGTCACCAATGCCCTAGGGACCAGCCAGGCAAACGTGACCGTCCTGCTCAGAGGTGAGGAGCCCCCTAGGTGGGGAGAAGGGAGGAACTTAGGATGGATATCAAAGAGGATATCAAAGTAGGATTCCCTCTGAGGGAGGGGTTTAGAGGTGGTCCCTGGTTAAAGGAGTCCCTCAACCACAAGAATGCTCCAAAGCTCCCATTGTTTCCCTAAGCCCCTTCATGGAAGGTTCAACGGGCTCAGCTTTACTGTCTGTTAACTCACCAACTGAACCATTGAAACCACGGTACAGCCCCCTGGGCACAGCCGCTCTGCAAACCCAGGCTGGGGTAGTTGCATAATGCCTCTTCCCAATGGACTCAGGCAGGCTTTCCCAAGTATATTAGACAGACTCTGTCATTTGCAATTGATAGAAGCACAACTCAAAATAGCCCAGGCAAAAATGGGACTTTATTAGAAATTCACCTTCAGGTATGATTAGATCCAAGTGCTCCAACTATGTAATCCAGGAACTTTTCTTGACCTCTATTGTCTCTGCTTTTCTTTTGCTGGCTTTATTCCCTGGCGGGCTTTCCTCTCAGGAAGGTAAGATGGTCCCCAGCAGTTTATAGGCTCACAGCCCACCAGTTTAGTAATCCCAAGAGAAAGAATACACCACTTTCAGTAGCTCTAGCCAGAGTCCAAAGGCTGGCTCTCATTGACTCAACTTAGGTCACAGTCCACCCCCACCTCAAGAACCAGTTGCAGCAGCCGGAGAGAATGGAATGTTCTGATTGGCCAGGCCCAGTTCAAAGTCCCATCCTCCTGCATCTACACACTGCTATATTTAAAATGGATAACCAAGGACCTACTATATAGCAGGTGGAACTCTGTTCAATGTTATGTGGCAACCTGGACAGGAGGGGTGTTTGGGGGAGAATGGATACATATATATGAATAGCTGAGTCCCTTCACTGTTCATCTGAAATTAACACAACATCATTTGTTAACCGGCTCTACCCCAACACATAATAAAAAATTTTAAAAAAAGAAAACCCAAGTCCCACCCTAGGAACCAGAGGGTGTAGTGAAGCTCAGCTAAACCATATAGACTGAGGGAGGCAGAGCGGTAGCCTCCTTCAAAAGTGAAGTCTAATATTTTGGGGGGCAGGTGAAACCCCCCCAAAAGTCTCTCAGCTTAAATCTCTGCTTCCTTCTCTTCTGGCAGAAAGTCCTAGGGAGCAGCCACACGAGGGTTCGTCCTCTATGACCGTTATCATCGTGGCCTCGGTAATCCTGTTGGTTGTCATGCTGGTGTTGCTGATTTGTTACTGCTGGCACAGAAAGTCCCGTGAGTCCCCTCTTTTTTGACATATCCCCCGCCTGCCTGCTGTAAATGAACATTAAGCACCTGCTATGAGCCTGCAAGCTCTGTACTAAGTCTTCCACGTGGCAACCTCTCTCTGAACCCTCATGCCCACACCATGAGGTTCCCCCGTTGGACAGACAGGGACACTGAGACCAGGGAGTTTTATTCATTGGATCATTGATTTCATTTTTACAAAGTGGGAGCAGCTCCCGTACACAGTAAGGACTTGGCTTTCAATCCAGGTGACGTAGAAGCTCCTGCCAAAGGGATGCAGTGTAGAATAACACTTAACGCCCTCACCCCCACTTTCCCTCATCTGCCTTGCTCAGGACTGGCTCCCTGAAAGGAGGGCTTGCCCCAATCCCTGGCTCCAAAAGGTGCCCAGATCCCAGCTCAAGGGCTTCGCAAGGCTGTTCCCCTGCCTGGAGCCCCCTTCCCCATGGCTCCCTCTGGCAAAATCCTGTGGCTAATTCTGTAATCAAAAGAGCTACGTTTTGCTGAGCACTTTCTCTGTGCCAGGCACTTCTTGGGCACAGCCCCCATGAATGCTCACCACCACCCTGTAAAGAGAGTCCCACTGTGAGCCCATTTCACAGATGAGGAAACATTTTTTCAGAGAGGTGACATTACCTGCCAGCTGGCACACAGCTGGAAAGTCAAGAGTTGAAGGTAGATCTGTTGGTTACAAAGTTTTTTTCGTTCAACCACTAAACAAAAAGGCCTCCTCGCATCCCACTGGGGAGCCCTCTCCTCCAGGGAGCCCTCCCTGATCTTCCCCTGAAATGAACCAAGCACCTGCTCTGGTCTTCCCCACCCCCACCCCTTGCCCACTCAGGGGCATCATGGTGTGGGGACTTGTCTGTCTCTCCAGCGGACTGGGAAACCCAAGAGCACAGAGCTAGAACTGTCAGTCATGGCTGTGTCCCCAGCACCACCTACCACTGGATCAGGCACAAAAGAGGCATTTGAGGAAATGTTTGCTGAATGCATCACGTCCAGAGCCAGACTGCCTGTGCCTGAGCCCACAGGAGTCACCGTGGGCAAAAGCCTTACTATGACTCAGTTTCCTCATCTGTGAAATGGGCATGTCCATACCTGTTAATGTAGACCCAGCACTTACCATAGCATTTGGCACATTATAAGCCACACACTGGGTATTTTTGTCTGTTTTGTTTACCTCTCTATCCCCAGCACCCAGAATGCATCTGGCACAAAGTAGACATTTGCTATTTGCTGAATAAATCCTTGTTGGATGGCTGAGGAAACTGAGGCACAGAGAGGTTAAGTCAACTGCCCATGGTCACACAGCTCCTAAAGGACTGGGATTTGAACTCTTCCGTCTGGTTCCAGAGCCCATGCTCAATAAAGATTTATGTGTACTTAATAACTGAAGGAATAACGAGATGAAGCCTATACCCCAGCTGTGTTTTTAAATGTAGAAACCATTTTGGGACATGACTCCCCCATGTCAATAGCAGAGCCAGGACTTAGAATTCAAGGGGCCTGGTCCCCCACGTGTGTCTTCTTCCCATGCTTTCCAGCATTGCCATTCACTTCTTTTTTTTTTTTTTTTGCCATTCACTTCTGATCACTTCTCCTCCTGTCTCCTCAGGTCAGAACCAGTACAGTCCCTCTACTAATGGGGTAAGTATGGTGGTGGAGCTGAGGAGGCGGTGGGGGTCTGCACGAGCCCCAGATTAATCGCCGTGGGCTTTCCCAAGAAAGGGCCAGGCATCTCTGTGCACCCACAGCACTTAACCGGGGAATCTGCATTTTCAGATCTCCCCTTTCCTTCCCGTTCCTGACCATACCTGGAGAAGTGCTGCCCTGGCTTCCAGGGTTGGGAAAGGAGAAGGCCTGCAGCTCTCTGCATGCTGGGCTTCGACAGGAAGAATTTTTGTTATAAGGGCTTGAGGCTAAAGTTAGGAGAGAGGATGAGATGGTTGGCATCATGGACATGAGTTTGAGCAGACTCCAGGAGATAGTGAAGGACAGGGAAGCCTGGTGTTCTGCAGTCCATGGGGTTGCAAAGAGTTGGATACAACTGAGCAACTGAACAAGAGGCTAAAATTTGCATATTTCCCTAGATGGTCAGATATTCAGCTGTTGGCAGCAATTTCCAGGATCCACCAACGGAGGGCACCGGGTGACAGCGTGGACACTGGATGGTGAGCCTGGAGCTGGTGAGGACCTGGATCTTCCAGCTGGACTCCCTCCCCTGCCTCATTGGAGGGAGTCTCCCTCCAAAGACACCGGCCACCCTTCCCCTGCCAGACCTCAAGGATGCCCCCTCTGCCTCACAGCATGGTGACCCAGGCGGAGGGCAAGTTCAAGGGTCTACAAGACCAGCTTCAGGTGGAGTCATTCGCTATGAGGACTATGGAACTCAGGAAAGCTGTTTACTCGCGGACATAATTTACTATACTGCAAGGATGAGATCAAGAACAGCAGTGTGAAAAAGCTCACAGGGCTGGGTCCCAGCGCAAGCTTCTGGTTGTTCAGTCCCGGTGGAGTCGTGCGGACAGCACTTACTTCTCCCGGCAATGACGTGTGACAGCACACACAGAGTGTTGCCAAGCAGGAAAGCGCGCCTGAGCCTTGGTTTCCAGAGGTGTCAATCGTGTAGACATGGCTGACCACCCATGCAGCTGACCTTGGCACCAACATAGAAAGAGTTGAAGAAAGAGTGCATGCATGATCAAGCGTGTATGACTCTTTGCAACCCCATCGGTGTCCATGGGATTCTTCAAGAAAGAATGCTGGAGTGGGTTGCCATTTCCTCCTCCAGGGGGTCTTCTCGGCTCAGGGATTGAACCTGTGTCTCTTGCATCTCCTGCATTAGCAGGAGAATTGTTTACCGCTGCGCCCACTGGGAAGCCTGTCACCAACATAGGTCAAGCCATTATTATGTGGCCTAATGCCCCCGCCATGAATCACACCATCGGCATAGATTATCCTGTATAGCCCACAGCCCCAGGTAAACAAAGCTTTCTATCAGCCAGGACATTCCAAAGAAGGGCTAAGAAGTTACTTCACAGGAACCGGGGGCAAAGGGCCAGGTCTTTTTTTGAACAAGGTTAATCCTTTCCTGCATAGTAGGGCCACACAGAATGTTGCAGCTACCAGAGGTTTATTTGGTAAGAATTTGACTTCTGGTCTTGAGCTTCTAAATCTCTGATTTAGTTGAATCTCGGTGGCTTACAAGAAATAGTCACTGATCCTTGTCATCGGAAGAGGCCGGAACTCAGCTGCCCCGGGAATGTCCAAGGATCGGGAGCAAGTGGTGGTGCTGAACTGATGCGGTCCCAGGAGAGCACCTGTGGCGTGCTGGGGTTAACAAGACCTTGGTCATCCACAGAGGAAAGCAGGAAGTTATTTCCAAAACAAGGAGGAAAAAATAGATGCTGAAGAATGAGACGCGACAGCTGAGCAGCACAGGCTGCCCTCCGACCTGGAGGGACATAGCCCAAGCCCCAGGACGAAGAGCTTCTCTGATACTCTGACCTGTTTATTTTATAACGGTCCATGATCGTGGGGGCGGGTACCAGAATTCCGCTGTCTGTTGGAGAAAACAGGCAGATAGAGACCTTGGGGCAGAATGCTAAGCCGGAGAGCAGGGCATGAGTCACTCTGCAAGAGACAGCGAGAAGGACTTGCGGGCTTCTGTCTGGGCAGATGGGAGAATGCAAACCAGAGAAGGGTGGGGAAGAGATGGGACCCAGCCAAATGGGAGGGATGAAGGCATAACGAGGATAGCAGGGCTCCGCAGTGCAGGTGCATAAAGGGAGACTGGTTGCCTAGCTGCCACGTAAACCCCCTGTCCGCTCCCAGCCCCCAAACACCTTATTAAAGTTAATTTATTACACCTCGAGCGGCTGTGTGCAAGGGGGTCTTTTGTGGGAACTGGGGAGGAACAGAGTTTTGCCCAAACCGTCACCATGAGAGACAGAAACAAAGGCGTGGAGGCAAGACCTTGAATCAAGAGGGCCACAAAGAGGGACTGCCCTGGTAGTCCAGTGGTTAAAGCTCCCAATGCAGGGGCCCGGGGTTTGATCCCTGGTCAGGGAACTAGATCCCATGCACCGCAACTAAAGACCCTGAAGGCCACAGCTAGAACCAAGCACAGCCAAGTGGATAAATGGTGGTGATGGTTTAGCTGCTGAGTCATGTGCAACTCTTGCCACCCCATGGACTGTAGCCCGCCAGGTTCCTCTGTCCATGGAATTTCTCAGGCAAGAATACTGGAGTGGGTTGCCATAACCTCCTCCAGGGGATCTTCCCGACTCAGGGATCCAACCTGCAGCTCTGGTGTCTGCTGCCTTCTCAGGCAGATTCTTTACCACTGCACCACCTGGACTTCAATGAACACACCTTAATTTTAAAATGCTGTATTGCTTAAAAAAAAAAAAATTCTAACCATCATCTGAGCCTTCAGTACATCATCATCTTTTTGCAACAGTAACACCAAAGATCACAGATCACAGACCATGATAACAGATAGAATCATAAAAAAGCTTGAAATATTGCAAGAATTACCAAAATATGATACAGAGACACCAAGTCAGCAGATGCTTGGAAAAATGACACACACCGACAATGTGGAGCTGCTCAATTTAAAAAAAAAAGCACACACACAGTATCTTCCAAGTGTAATAAGGCAAAGAGCCATCAAATGAGGTGGGCCTATACATAAAACCCTCAAACCAAAAGTTATAAAAAGATATCAGGGGTGCACTTTGAGTTTATTTGCACAGAAGTAATAAAGTGAGGGTTTAGCTCAGTCCCTCAACACATGAATGGATAAACAAAATCTGGCCTATCCATACAAAAGCATATTATCCAGCCATGAAAAGGGATGGGGTACTAATGCATGTGACAGTCTTGGAAACATGATGCTAAATGAAAAATGACAGACACAAAAGGTCACTTCTTGCATGAGTCCATGTAAATGAAATATCCAATATAGGCAAATCCATAGAGACAGAAAAGATGTAAGTATTTACTGGGGCCTGGGGGAAGGGGGAATGGGGAGTGGCTGCTTAGTGGGTTCAAAGTTTCCCTTTGGCATGATTAAAAACGTTCTAGAAATAGATAACAGTGATGGTTGCACAAGATCATGAACCTACAAATGCCACTGAATTGCACACATTAAAACAGTAAATTGTATGTGGGTTTTGTCACAATAGAAGAAATAATTTAAAATTTTTATTTAAAGAATTTTTTCATTCCCCAGAGGTTATTGGAAGAATTTTCAGGAACCAGTTAAACTCATGAAGGGCAGGTGAATTGTTGGAGGAAAAATAATATGCTAACTGTTAAAGAAGAAATTACTTAATGACACCAGTTAAAACATGGTGTTCTCACACACTCAGTCACATCTGACTCTTTGTGACCCCCTGGACTGTAGCCTGCCAGGCTCCTCTGTCCATGGGATTTCCCAGGCAGGAATACTGGAGTAGGGTGCCATTTCCTCCTCCAGGGGATCTTCCCCACTCAGGGATCAAACCCACATCTCTTCCATCTCCTGCACTGGCAGGTGAACTCTTAACTGATAGCGCCACCTAGGGAGCGCAGTTAAAGCATCAAGTGAAAGTGTTAGTGGCTCAGTCACGCCTGACTCTCTCCAACCCCATGGACGGTAGCCTGCCAGGCTCCTCTGTCCATGGGAGTTCCCAGGCAGGAATACTGGAGTGGGTCACCACTCCCCTCTGTAGGGGGCCTTCCAGACGCAGGACTCCAACCCAGGTCTCCTGCATCGCAGGCAGATTCTTTACCATCTGAGCCACCAGGGAAACCTAAGGCAGATTTTTATTTAGGGAGATGGGGTCATCACCTTAGGTATGGGGAGCATCTGCCAAGGGGAGAGGGACTGGACCCAGGTCCAAATGCAGAGTGAGCATATGGCGATTCACCGCCAAGGAGCAGGCTGGGAGTCAGCGGATGGAAAGCAACTAAGAGGTGGTGATAGGGAGCAAGACCTCTGTGGGCTTCTGGGCGCAGACGCCTTTCTGTGTCCCCCATTTCTTGATTACAGGAAAGATGCTTCATTCAGTCTCCCTGACCTTCCCAGAGTTCCAACGGCGGGTTCAAACAGTTGCTATGAATATTAGGGAAAGGAGAGGGTGCGGAGACAAGGGAGGAACAGTCAAGAGAAATATCAGTGCACACTTGGGGCCGGGTCCTGGCTCACCCTCAAGGGATACACATAAACATTATCTTTGAGCTGTTTTGCACACACTGGAACCCCCACGAGACGGGAGAAGTTAAGGGGTGTGCTGCCCACAAGGACATAGACCCCAGACTGGTTGGCACCAGAAGGTTGGTGATGCTGACTCCCACTTACCTCACCACCAACCAATCAGACTGTCCATGAACTAATCGCGCCCTCTGTAAACCATTATTATAAAACTCCTCACTGGAGTTCCCTGGTGGTTCAGTAGTTAGGACTTCATACATCAACTGCAGGGGACATGGGTTCTATCCCTGGTGGGGGAACTAAGATCCCATGTGCCACGTGGCATGGCTAAAAGTAATATTGACCATAAATTAGGAGCTTCCCTGGCTGCTCAGTGATCAAGAATCCTCCTGCCAATGCAGGAGACTTGGGTTCGATCCAGGAAGATCCCACTTGCCGAGGAGCAACTAAGCCTGTGCTCCACAACTTCTGAGCCTGTGCTCTAGAGCCTGAGAGCCACGACTAGTGAGCCTCCCGTGCCAAAAGTCCTGAAGCCTGAGCACCCTAGAGCCCACGCTGTGCAACAAGAGAAGCCTACTGCATTGAGAAGCCCGTGCCCCACAGCTGGAGAGTAGCCCCTACTCGCCACAACTAGAGCAAAGCCCGTGCAGCACTCAAGACCAAGTACAGCCCCAAACAAACAATAATAAATTATGTTAATAATCATAATAAACAAACGCTAAACATATGTTAAAATAAAACTCTTCACAAGCCCCTGTAGGTCAGGACAGTTTCAAGGTCATTAGCCCCCTGTCGTCCCCTTACCTGGCAAAACAAGAAAGCCGTTCTTTTCTACTTCTCCCAAAACTGTGTCTCTGAGGTTTAGTTCGGCAGAGGGGTACAGAGGCTGGATTCAGCTTCAGTAGCTTCAAGGGTAAGAAAGAGTTTAGCTATGCCAACGTAACAGGATTCTTACTGGATCAGATATCACCTTGGGGGGGCGGGGGTGGTGGAGGAAGAAGAACCCGATCAGACATCAAAGGAAGGCAGCTCTGGCTGAACTGATTTAGAAGGATTCTTGCTCAAAATGGACAAGGCCAAGATAAACAACAGAAGTCAAACGTCAATCCTAGCTGGGAAAAAGTTCAAGAAAGCCTAAGCAGAGTTCAGTCAATGAGAGAAATGTAACAGTGGGGGTGCTTCAGGCTCCAACAGCAGAAAACCCCTCTCGCCCCTCCCACCCTCACCCCAGACTCCCCAGGCTGAGGTTAAAAACAAAGAACTGGATTGTCTAATTCAACTCCAGGGACTATGTGTGATGTTCAGCTCTGCTTCTCTGCTGTTTACTCTGTTTTCCTCCACATACTGGCTGTCATCCTCAGGCTGGTGCCAAAGTGGCTGCTGCATTCCAGCCATCACAGCCAAAAACTATGGGGAGAAACAGCCCACTCCATTCTGGGAGAGCTTCCCCAGGAGCCTCCCCTCAGCTCTTATTGGCCAGCACTACCCACTACTCAACCAATCCCTGGCCAGAGAATGGGACCACCTGGGAGTGAGGCAGGAAAGAGATGGGCTCTAGGCTCAGTTCAGTTCAGTTCAGTCACTCAGTCGTGTCCGACTCTTTGCGACCCCATGAATCGCAGTACGCCAGTCCTCCCTGTCCATCACCAACTCCCGGAGTTTACTCAAACTCATGTCCATTGAGTCAGTGATGCCATCCAANCTTCCTCCAGCCCAGCGTTTCTCATGATGTACTCTGCATATAAGTTAAATAAGCAGGGTAACAATATACAGCCTTGACGTACTCCTTTTCCTATTTGGAACCAGTCTTTTGGTCCATGGGCTCTAGGCTAGGCATTTATAATTATCCTCCTGTTTACATTTCCTGGGGAAAGAGGCAGGCAGGCTCTAGGCTAGATATTTACAATAAGCCTCCTGTTTGCACTTTGAGTTAGAAATAACAACAGGAACAGGGTAAATAACTGGACTTTGTCTCCTGTGGACACTTTAACAGTCACAGCAGGGACAGAGACAGACTAAATTCTGTTTGAGTAAAAGATCAAGAGGTCACACATTTCCCATCCTTGGGGCAAGGTAGACATAGCACATGTGCAGAAAGACTCCTTGGGGGTCCAAAAGGAGGAGGCGCCAACCCATAATAGGTAGTGCCAAGGTCCTCCATAGACCTCTGGGATGAAATCCATCTTGGAAAAAGTTGTGCATCCTTGTTGGGGAGGGTCCTAGGGCAGGTCAGGTGTGAAAAAAGAAATCAGATAATTGGCCAAAGGTAAACAAAGACCTGGGCTTCCCAGGTGGTACTAATGGTAAATAATCTGCCTGCTAATGTAGGCGATGTGGGTTGGACCCCTGGGTCAGGAAGATCCCCTGGAGGAAGATATAGCAATGTACTTCAGTATTCTTGCCTAGAGAATCCCATGAACAGAGGAGACTAGTGGGCTACAGTCCAAAGGGTCACAAAGAGCTGGACACAACTGAAGCAACTTAGCACACACGCATAAAGACCCAGAAGAATTGCACTGTATTCTGTGCTCCTCCTCCTCAGTGGGGGAAGCCCACACCCTCTCTCTCCAGGTGAGCATCTTGCTTCTGTCTTAACTAAACAAACTGTTTCTGTGTGCTCTCCCACTTGTTGTACTATGCCTCCAATAATAAACCTTGCATGTGTTTTCACAGCTTTTGCCTCCTTAAAACATTCTTGCCTTCAAATGGAAGCGAGAGACAGGGAGATTCTTCTTCTAGCCTCTAGCCCTTTGTGGTCTGGTGACTAGGACTCCTGGTTTTCACCCAGGTTACCCAGGTTCAATTCCTGGGCAGGGAACTAAGATATCACTTCAAGTCACCACTCACTGCTGCCTCTGTGAGATTAGGAGGCTTGGACCAGCCAGCACCTGCTTTCTGGGGCTGGTGAAAAGCCAGGATGAAGACTACAGGACAGAGGATGGAGCTAACATCTGGTATTAACAGTGACCAGTTTCCCTGGCAGCTCGGCAGTAAAGAATCCACCTGCTAATGCAGGAGACGTGGGTTCGATGCCTGGTCGGGAAGATCCCCTGGAAAAGGAAATGCCAACCCACTTGGGCTACAGTCCATGGGGTCACACAGTTGGACACAACTGAGTGACTAAACAACAACAATTAACAGTGATGCTCTCTGGGCAGTTGGAAGCTGGCTGAATTTTACTCTCTTTCCTTTTGAGTTCTTTCTGTGTAAATGTTCTAAATAAACCTTGACTTTCCTTTTAGTAGTTGTAAGAGGAATCAAGGTCATCAGGTGAGAGGGAGGCAGGAAGGAAGGAGGGAGAGAGGGAGGGGGGAGAAAGAGAGAGAGAGGAGCTTCGGGAACTGGAAAATCTAGAAGAACTGGCTTTGCTTACTGCCCTGCCTCTCCCCCTCCCAGCTCAGAGAACATTTGGTCCTGAAGTCTAACAGGGAAAATTCATCAGAATCCCTGTGGCCCCTTAACTCCACTTCTGGTATGCCCCAAATTTCTACCAGAATGAAGCCAGTTTGGGCAATCTGATTGCAGCCCAAGATTGGGGCAATGACCTTAGAAATAAAGACTGGGTTTGCAACAGTCCCCCTGAGGCAGATGGACAGAGCAAACCTCAAAACAGCAGCGAAAGATCCTGGAAGAATTCTGACCCCAGGAACACAACCAGGAACACAGCCTCAAGACCTTCCAGGCTGTAGAGACCGTTTGGGAGGTGAGGATTGAAAACACCTCCAGGGAAACACACTTTCCATGAGCAGGGTCACGAATCTGGGAGGCAGGGCAAGTCCATAGACAAGGTGGATAATAATTACAAATAACAGGCATTTACTGGCCCCTGCCTGCAAAGTCTCCTTACTCCTCCCAATAGCCCCATAAGTAAGGGTGTTTGCCCCATCCTCCAGAGGAGGAAACCAAAGTTCCAAGAGGTGAACTCTTTCGCCCAAGATCCCATAACCAAGTGGTGGCAGAGCTGGGCTGAGAGCCAGGCTCACCCACTCACAGCAGGGCAGTCCTGGAGTCTACAGTTGTTCAGACATCTGGACCATGCCCGCCTCGAGACAGTTCAAAGTCAAGATTTCTTTCCTGTCCCAACCTAGGGACTCTGGGATTTCCCTGGTGGTCCAGTGGTTAAGATTCAGTGCTGACAATGCTAGGGGCTCGAGTTCAATCCCTAGTCAGGGAACTAAGATCCCACGTGCCATGCAGAGCTGCCAAAAGATTTAAAAATAGAAGAAGAAAAAGGAAAAGGAAGAAAAGTGTTCCAACCTGGGGACTGTAGAAGATGCCAATCTGCTGAAGTGTGTCCAACACACACACACACACATACACACACACTGCTGTGTGATGTATGGTACCCTGACTTGGTGTTGTCTCCTCCTACAAGACAAGAAATCTAACCTGGCATCGACCCCCTCAGATCCCTGGATGTGTGCTGTCCCATAGAAATTTCTCTGACAATGATGGAAATGTCCTGTACCCATGCTCTCAAGGGTGGTAGCCACTGACCACATGGGGCTGTTGAGCACTTGAAAGTGGCTAGTTCGAGGAACTAGGTTTTTTAAGGCATTACATTTCAATTAATTTACACTGATATTTAAATAGCCTTATGTGGCTACGGTCATAGCACAATCCTGGACCCTCCAGCACCCAGGTCATGCCCCAACAGAGCTCAAAATTACACTTGGTCCCTCCTACTTCTCCAGCTTCACCCCTCAACACACACCTCCTCCCTGCTGGGCCCTCCATTCTTCCAGGATTTTGCTGACTCCTCAGTGCACCTCGAAGGCTGTCTCAGCCTCCATGCCTTTTGCCTATGCTGTTTACACTGCCTGGTATACCTTTCCCCAATCCATCCCACCTCATTCCTCCTCCTACTCTAGGTCTCAACGCGACATCCCCTCCTCCAGGAAGTCCTCCCTGCCTCTCTGGCTGAGTAAGGCATTCCCTCAGGTTCTCCCGGGTCCTGAGGCTCCTCCAGCCCAGCGTTGGGGATAACTCTGTATCATCATCGTCTGGAGATGGGCCTCTCTCACACACACACATGAGCACGCACATACACACACACAGAACTGCGAGCCCCACTGTGGACCGAGGGCAGAGCAGGAGCTGTCTCAGTCATCACCATGTTCTCAGCATCACTTGGCCCAGGACTGGGCATAGCGTGTGCATGTTGGAATGAATGAACAAAGGGATGTTTTTGAACAACTATGCTAAGAGCTTCAGAGTGAGCCAGCCACAGGTCAGCTCTCCACCTGCTGATCGACTTGCCTCTCTCCTTGAGCCTCAGTTTTCTCATTCCATGAAATGGAAAGTTATGCATGGTGGATATGGGATGAGGTATTTGGACAAGGTATTACCTATCTCCTTGCCTGGCCCAGGGAGGTTGCTCAGTTGGAGGCTGCTGTGGCTGTTGTTTTTGCTGTTATAATTACTGCCTTGCTTCTGACAAGGAAGAAGAGATGTAAAAGGGTCAAGGGAGGAGTCTTGGGAAACCCCAGGAAGTTCCTCAGTCTGGAAACCCTGGAAAACTGGTTCAACCAGCTTCTGTGTGGATCATCCCTCATCTGAAGGAGCACAGGTGAGGCCTTCAGAGCTTATGGAAGAGGGGTACTAGGCTGGGCCAGCCTCAGCCATGTCTCAGAGGCACCCCCGGGATCCCCACTGAGTGGGCTCGCTTCGGATAGCCAGGACCCCACCTTCGGGCCCCCTTGGTGTCCAGTAGGTGGCCCCTTGGCATCTCCATAGGACCCCAAGATGGAGATTCCTGCTGGGGCCCAGCACGCCTTCCCCAAGAGCCTCCTGCTCTCAGGTAAGGAGGAAACATGCCCCCCAGGGCTGAGGGGAGAAGGGATCCTTAGCCCAGGGGCTGAGGTTTCCTCTTGAAAGAAGGGAAAGTTTGTCCGGGGAAAGGAAATTATGAGAGTAAGATGGGAGGGAAGGGCAGAAGAATCATAACTTCATCCCCATTTAACCTGTGGAGTTTTCTAGAATGCCAGGTCCACAAAAGCTGGAATTTACTTCTGTTTGATTCCCTGCTGAATTCCCAGGGCTTAGAAATCTAGGGAATTTTATTTTCTTTTATTATTTTTTGGGCTGTATCACACAGCATATGGGATCTTAATTCCCTGACCAGTCATAACTACTGGACCACTGGGGAGGTCCATAGGAATTTTACACATATCCTATTTAACTGGTATTGTAGCATGAACAATATATTGGTTAAACAATTATTAGTTAGACAAACTAATAAATTAGTCCAGAGAGTCCGTGTGTTTGGAGGCAGATCACATACCATCTCCAAGGGGAAAAACTTTCTGGACCAATGGGATGGCAGATCTGTGACAGTCATACCTGGGTTACACTCTTGCACCCAGAGCAGACATCACTAATCAATCCCAGCACTGCTGCCAATGAGCAGCACTCAGAGCCTGCAGTTGAGGACCTGTAGGGAGGAGAATGCTATGGTCCCTGCCTAACATTTCTGATCCCAGGCCTCCCCTGTAACCCCACAGCCTCCATCCTGGCCCTCTGGGTCCCCCAAGGCTCCTGGGCAGCCCTCCACATCCAGAAGATTCCGGAGCAGCCTCAGATGAACCAGGACCTTCTCCTGTCTGTCCAGGGCATCCCAGACACCTTCCAGGACTTCAGCTGGTACCTGGGGGAGGAGGCCCATGGAGGCACAATGCTATTCACCTACATCCCCAAGCTACTACGACCCCAGAGGGATGGCAGTGCCATGAATCAGCGAGACATCGTTGGCTTCTCCAACGGCTCCATGCTGCTGCGTCGCGCCCAGCCCAGCGACAGCGGCACCTATCAGGTAGCTGTCACCATCAACCCTTCCTGGACCATGCGGGCCAAGACTGAGGTCCAGGTGGTCGGTGAGTGTTGGGCACTGGGGGAAGAAGTGGGGAGGCTAATGCATCCTGAGCAGCCACCAAGCTCTGTGCAAGCATTTGGTCCTCTCGTTCCTTCATGCAACACATATTGGCTGAGCACTTACTCAGTACCAGCCCCGAAGTTGTCATTTAATCCTCTGGTGCATTAACTAAGAACACATCTATCAAATGCCTACTTTGTGCCAGGCACTGAGCCGGACCCTGGAGAATGCACCATCTCATTTATTCTTCACATGCATGAATTCATGAAATATGTACTGAGCACCTACTGTATGCCTAGTCTTGAGGGATCTATGTTCATAAGTCAAGAATTTATTGGGAATTCCCTGGCAGTCCAGTGGTTAGGACTTGGCACTTCCACTGTGGCGACCCAGGGTTGATCCCCGGTCAGGGAACTAAGACCCCACAAGCCTCACAGGATAGCCAAAAAAGAAAAAAAAAAAAATGTATTGATGAATCTACTCTCAGCAAAAGAGATATGGTGGCAGACATAGCAACAGCTAATATTTCCTGGGTACTTGTTATGGATCAAAAATAAGTTCTAAACACCTGCCCTAGAACACAACTTCTCAACCTGGGCACTATTAACATTTTGGACTGGCTATTTCTTTGCAGCAGAGGCTACGCATTCCGTCCACTGTCAAGTATTTAGCACCTTCCCTGGGCTCTCATCACTAGATGCTAATAGAACCCTCCCAGTAGTGACAACCAAAAACGTTTTCAGACATTGCCGAATGTCACCCCTGTTTGAGAACCACTACCTTATATTAATTCATGTGTATCTTTTCTCAGAACTCTGTGAACTATTACATGCCAATTATATCTCAATAAAGCTGGGAGTGGAATGACTTAACTTTTCCAGGCAGACTTGGTCACTCATCATCTAGGTCCCCAGAGGACTCGGCTCATCCCTTTCCCTTTGTGATTGTCATCACATGTTCTGATTTATAACCTTAAAAACTTGTCTTGTGGTAATTCCCTGGTGTTCCAGTGGTTACAACTCCTTGCTTCCATTGCAGAGGGCACAGGTTCGATCCCTGGGTGGGGAACTAAGATTCCACATGCACATCAGTGTGCCCAAACAGACCACAGAGTGAGAAAAATGGAACATGCTCACCCTTTTATTTTTTAATTAATGCTTACTGAAGTATAGTTGCTTTACAATGTTGTATTACTGTTCCTATTGTACAGAAAAGTGAATCAGCCATACATACATCCCCTCCCTTTTAAACTTCCTTCCCATTCAATTCACCATTAAGTAGAGTCCCTATCCTATACTATTAAATGACTTGTTATAGGTAAATGCCAGCTTTACCCATAATAACTCATTTAATCTTCACTGCAGCTCTGCTAAGTAGGTAACATTATTAGATCCATTTTACAGATGCAGAAACTGAGGCACAGAGAGGTTAGACTTGTCCAGTAAAAATAAATAAATAAATAATGATGTGATCTAGAATAGGCTTTGCTGAGAAATTAGGAAAGGAAGGGCGTCCTGAGGATTTCTAGGGCAGGAGTTCCTGGTAGAGGGCATAGCATGTGCAAAGGCCCTGAGGTTAGACTAGTTTGGTGTGTTTAAAGTATAGACAGATGGACTCCATAGCTAGAAGACAGCGAGCAAGTTGAGTGTGGGGAGGTGAGGGCTGAGAGGTAGACAGGGGCCAGGTTCATATCCATGGAAAGACTGACAAGAAGCCACGAGAGGGTTTAAGCAGGAGAGTGATCGGATTCACAGCTTAACTCATCCATTGGGCACAGGGCAGGCTGAATCTCTGTTTTATCCCGAAGGTTTGAAGCAGGGTATCAGGCAGCTCACCATCAAATCAGCAGCAGAGATGGGACTCAAATGCAGCGCCTCCTGAATTATACACACAACTGCCTCTGCCGGAACTAAATTCCTCATTCATTCCTTCAGCCAGCACCCCCTAAGAGCCCTCCTCAAGGCCTCCTCTGTGTCTAGCTGGTACTGGGCCGTGCTGGGGACAGAGTGGTGACCAAGGCAGCCCTGACCTTCCCCTCCTGGGGCTCACAGCCCAGTGAGGGAGACAGATATTAACTTCATAATCACACACACATACAATAGATTCTTATGCACAGTGCAGGTACTGGGAAGGAAAGTGTAGGAATTATGAGATTGTAAAGAGGGGTGTCAGGGAGGTTGCCTGAAAATGTGATCCTTCAACGAAGTTTGAATGATAATCGACAGTTCTTTTTTTTTTTTTTTCCCCACTACTTTTTGTTTTGGTTGCCCTGGGCCTTAGCTGTGGCATGTGAACGCTTAGTTGTGCCATGTGGGATCTAGTTCCCTGACCAGGGATTGAACCCAGGCCCCCCACTTTGGGAGCACAGAGTCTTAGCCACTGGAACCACCAGGAAAGTCCCCTGGAAGTTCTAATTAGAGAAGAAAGGAGCTCTGGAAGGTATACGGGCAGAGGGCTCAGCCTGTGCATAGGGCCTAGGGCAGGAAGCTACAGGGCTCATGAATTAGCTGGCAGGAGGCCAGCATGGCTGAGACAGGGCAGTGAACAGGGGGCATCCTAGGAGGTCAGCACTGCAGGATAGATTTGAGCCAAGGCCAGGGGCTTCCCTGGTGGCTTAGATAGTAAAGAATCTGCCTGCAATGCATGAAGACCTGGGTTTGATCCCTGAGTTGGGAAGATCCCCTGGAGAAGGGAATGGCGACCCAATCCAGTATTCTTGCCTGGAGAATTCCATGGACAGAGAAGCCTGGAGGGCTACAGTTCATAAAGTCATAAAGAGTCAGATATGACTGAGCAACTAACACTTGGGTTGTAAGAATAGAAGCTCTCTCCAACTGACTCAGAGTGGGCGTATCTTGTAGAGCCCCAGAGGTAGCCCCTGGGATGTGGGCTCTATATTAGGCCAGGGTTCACAGCTGCTTCTTCGGAGCCTAGAACAGGGCCAGACACACTGTTGAATGAACGAATGGACCAGGTACCAAGCCTGGAGGGTGGGAAAGGAAGTTTTGCGGGGAAAGCAGGTGCTCCCTCCGCCTCCAGGGGGCGACATCTCCGGTCTCATCTCTGCTCCAAGGCTCCATTCCCCTCACAGCCAAGGATTCCTACCAAGACACTACACAGGCTTCTTTGAGCATTCTGAGTCTTCTCTTCCAAGATGCAGAGATAGAGAGAAAGGGAGCTGGAGAGACAGACAGAGAATCTGGTTGGTCCTATCTGGCCTGTGGGTCTGCTTCCCCTTGAGTCAAAGGCCCACCCCTTTTCCAAGGAGATGGGATCAAGTACAACAAACCAGAAGGGGAGCTGGGGATGACAGCTGGGAAGACAAGCCAGGATTCAACAGTCACAAGGTAGACTTTATCATTTTTTTCATTATCAATCTCCTAGTGCCTAGAGCATGGCTTAGCACACATGAGCCGCTCAGCAAATATTTGCAACCCCATCTCTAATTTATGAAGCACTTACTACTTGCCAGCACCTCCAACTAAGTGCTTTGCCAACCTCACTTCATTCCATTCCTGTAAGAACCTTGCAGGTAGCCTCTGGGAAGGGGAGGAGCCAAGTGCATAGCCCTGGCCCTCCTGCCATGCGGTTCTTACACATGGACTCCCATGGAAGTACTGAGGGGTCCCCGTGGAGAAAGCAAGCAAGGAGGGCGGGGAATGGCCTTGATTTCAGAGGGCTGAGCACAGGGGGCAGGGAAGCCAGGCAGTTCAGCCCAGTGTAAAAAGAAGAGCAAAGGCAGAGGGAGTTCGGGGTAGGCTCGGTTGGGAGGGTCCTCGAGATAGGGCGGGTGTCCTCAGCCCCAGACATTTATATTGGAGGGCCCCAAATTCAGCCCCCCAACCTAGGTGGGAGTGGAAGTGGCCGACATCGCTCCTAGCATCCCAGGTAACTCACACTCTCAATCTCTCTTCATCACGAGGGAGTTTGGCTGTAAGAGAAGCCAACTCTGACCGGCATGTGCAGGAAGGTGTTTTTAGGGTTTTTTTTAATATTTATCTTTTAAATTTATTTATTTGGCTGTGCCAGGTCTTAGTTGCGTCACGTTCCATCTTCTAGTTCCAGTATGTGGACTCTAGTTCCCTGACCAGGGATTGAACCCAAGCCCCCTGCATTGGGACTGTAGCCTCTTAGCCACTAGACCACCAGGGAAGTCCCCAGAAAGGGGTTTAATAAAGCTTAGCATGTCTAAAAAAAAATAATCACATCAGTGTATTTAAAACTCAGACTCACAGACATGAAAAATAAACTTATGGTTACCAAAGGGGATGAGGAGGGATAAATGAGGAGTATGGGATACAGAGCATTGTATATAAAATAGATAAACATTAGGGATTTACTGTATAGCACCGGGAACCACTGGAGAAGGAAATGGCCACCCACTCCCGTGTTCTCGCCTGGAGAATTCCATGGACAGAGGAGCTTGGCGGGCTACAGTCCATGGAGTCGCAAAGAGTCAGACATGACTGAGTGACTAACACTCTTACAGGGAACCATATTCAGTAACTTGCAACAATTGACAATAAAAGAATCTGAAGTTATACAGCTAAAACTAGCCCAACGTTGTAAACCAACTATAGTTAAATTTAAAAAAAAACAATAAAAAATAAAATGAAAAAGGTAGTACATGTTCACAGGACCTTCCCAAGGCTAGAAACAAGGAACAAGGTATAAATAACTTGATGGAACTGCTCCTACTGAAGTAGCCAGTGCCCACAACATCTGGGCCCCTGGAGCTCAGAACCCCTGCCTGCAGGCCCTTGGAAGGCTGCATTCATTCATGTATTCATTCAACGAGCATCTATATCGAGCACTTACTATACACCAGGCATTAAGTTTACAGAAGGAAAGTACAAAGATCACTGCTCTTGTGGAGTTTATATGTTGGTGGACATGCCAGCTCTAGCCTCACCATCACAGGCTCCATGTGGTACCTGCATCTCTGGCTTCACATGGATGCATTTGATCAGGGAGCCTGGGTCACATGACAGGTCCCCATGGAAAAAGAACCTAAGAAAGAGAGTCTCTGGCAGGACTCCCAAGGCATATGATTCACAGAAACACAAGTGAAGGCTCAGGATGTGCAGATACTGTAAACCATCCCCAGTTTACAGATGACAATACTGGAGCTCAGAGAGGGGAAGTCAGTCTCCTGAGGTCACACAGCCTGCAAGCAACAGAAACTTGGTTCAAAAATACAGAGGGGAGCCACAGTCCCAGAAACCTTGTCATGAGGGTTTGGGGCCTTTGAGCAACTCTGACCAGTTTCCTCGAAGTCTTCAGGCCCTTTGTTACCCGTGGGGGTTAATTGCGGAGCCTGATTGCCCTTGACTGACTGTGTACAGTGCATTTTTCACACAGTTATCCTCTATGACCTCCCAACCATGGTGTGATGATCCCCATTTTACAGATGGGAAAACTGAGGCACAATCTGAGTAACTTGTCTAGGTCACCCACATAGGGAGAAGCAGATGCTGAACTGGAACCCGGGCTAGTTGCCTCCAGAGTCTATGCTCCCAGCTAGGTCTTGATTCTGCCTGAGTGTTAACAGCTATCATTGTAAACTAACTATATGGAGTCAAGAGTTTAGTCCCAACCCACAGTGCAGTTACAGAGTTAGACACAAAGTCTGCCCTTGGGGCCCTAGCTGAGCCCAAAGCCCCCCTGGCTCAGGGAGTTATTTCCCACTCAGGCTCAAGTTTGAGCTGCCAATAATGAAACTGAATTTGGTGCAAGCAAGAGAGGCTTGAGAGTGGCCAGAGAATGGAGAAGGGGAACTTCTACTCTAAAAGCCTCTTCCCTCTGAAGGGAGAGGAGTAGGGGGATTTTAAGGGTTAGGAAACAGGTCATCAGGGCTCTAGAAAAGGGATGGAGACTTCAGGAGCAGCCTTGGGCACGCGCAGTCACCCACGCTCCTTTGCACGTAGCTCTAGTTGAGCCTTTGTTGTTTTAGTTGTTAGGTCAAGTCCGACTCTTTTCAACCCCATGGACTGTAGCCCACCAGGCTCNACATGTGTTTTAAAAAAAAAAAAAAAAACAGTTTCTGTACCTGGGACCTGGACTGCATAACACGGGTGTCAGTATGACCTTTAGTGAAATGGCCAAAACTTTCAGAGGCTTTGTTCCTATGTCTGTAAAATGGGGGCAACAACATCACCACCATCACAGGATCCTTTAGATCCCCAACATTTTTGGCACCAGGGATTGGTTTCATAAAAGACAATTTTTCCATGGCGGGTGGGGTAGGGTAAGTAGTTTGGGGATGATTCAAACGCATGACTATTATTATGCACTTTATTTCTGTTTATTATTACATCAGTTCCACCTCAGATCATCAGGCATTAGATCCCAGAGTTTGGGGATCCCCTGTTTAGAGGACTGCCTTGGCAAATCCATGCGAAGCTGCTACTTCTGAAGCTGTGGAAATAAAGGATAACCAAAGGAGGAAAACGAAGGCTATTAATTCAGAGCTTGCATGTAGCAGGGGAGTTATCCACTATCCCTTGCATTTTGGCAGAGACTCAAAGGCAGGCAGAGAGGTGGAAAATCTTTGGAATGAAAAACAGGAAAGGCTACAGGTGTGTCCTTGTGGGAGGCTGTTGGCACAGAAAAGCAGGACATCCTAGGTGATTGGTTAGGGGACGTGTTTGGTTTTCTCTGGCTGGCCCTGAGTTAGAAAAAAGGGACAAAAATTAGGGAGGCTGTTAGTTGTTAATCAAGTCCCGGCCATTTGGCACTGATTGTTACAGAAGTTATTGTTCAGCTTCCTGCGTTGTCACTAGAGATAGAAATCTGGCTTCCTGTAAGTCTGACTTCAGCTGGCTTCCTGGGTTGTTTGTAAGAGGGTTGGTTTCCTAGGCAGTTCACTGTACCTTGTGAGTCACAATTCTGTTTTCAGAGCAGGTCTGACAGTTGTCGGTTTGCATACTGGTCTCTCAAAGCACTTTTTCGATGTGATTCTATCTAATCAAAGATCAACATGGAGGGACTTCCCTGGTGGTGCAATGCTTAAGAATCCACCTGCCAACACAGGGGCCACGGGCTCGATCTCTGGTCTGGGAAGATCTCACATGCCGTGGGGCAGGCACACCTGTATGCCACAAGTACTGAACCCACGCTCTAGAGCCTGAGAACCACAGCTACTGAAGCCCATGTGCCCTAGAGCCTGCACTCCGCAAAAGGGAAGGAACCGCAATGAGAAGCCCTCACACAGCAATGAAGCGCAGACCCGGCTCCACAACTGGAGAAAGCCTCCATGCAGCAACAGAGACCCAGTGCAGCCACAAGTAAAAATAAAAGGATCAACATGGATAAATCTGCTCCATGGAAGACCCAGATTGTTTCTTAGGAGAACTGAGAATAGATGGTCCCAGAGACCAGTGAACAGAAAAGCCAAAAGAAAAGAAGTTTCAGTCCTGGAAGAAGAAATAGAATGTGTGGCTCAGTTCCAGGTCCTTCTTGCTGTGGGACAAACTCAGTGGTATAAAACAACAACCATTTTATTATGTTCATGATTTCTGGGATCAAGAAGACAGAGACCTTCGTGATATCCAGCCTCAGATGAAAGGCTTCAAAAGGCTGAGCTTGGCTCAAATGCCAGAAGCTAAAAGCACCCAGAGGTGTCTTCATGCACTTGCTGTCAGCTGGGTGCTCAGCTGGGGCTTATCAATAGGATCATGGATCCTACTGGTCAATGTGTCCTCACCAGTGTGACTGCTTGGGCTTCCTCACAACATGGTGGCTGGGTTCTGGGTTCATGATGGGAAAACATGGAAGGAGTAAGTGTCCTGGAAGACCACAGCAGAAATTCCGTGGCTTCTTCTGACCTAGCCTTGGAAGTCACACCTTGATCAACATCATATTCTTCTGATTACAAGTGAATCACTAAGGTTGGCCCACATTCAAGGGAGGGAGATTAGACCTTCCACTGGATAGGAGAACAGCAAAGTCATATTGAAGAAGAGTGTTCAGTTGCAATCAACTTTGGAAAATACAGTGATTCACAGGCTGGCTCTTCACAAGCTCACTGTCTATAATAAAAGGCAGAAGAATCTCCTTGGTGGTCCAGTGGTTGAGAATCTGCCTGCAAGGCAGAGGACACCATTGGGATCCCTGGTCCAAGATGTGCTTATATGCCTTGGAGCAACCAAGTCTGAGCACCACAACTACTGAAGCCCTCGCACCCTAGAACCCTGGATGCAGCACATGGCAAAGACCCAGTGCAGCCAAAATAAATAAATAAAAAATTTAAAATAAATAATATTTTTAAAAAATAATAAAATAAAAGGCAGAAAAGATAGCCGAAAATAAATAAAATTTTAAAACAAATATTTTAAAAAATAATAAAATAAAAGGCAGAAAATATAAACAAGCTGTGAAAATCATGTGAATCACGGAAGTTTTTTGCTACAGCAACAGAAACTGCTTCTAGCTGATTTAAACAGAAAAGGAACAAATTCAAGGATCCTACAGAAGTACATCAAGGCTGTATGTTGTCACCCTGCTTATTTAACTTATATGCAGAGTACATCATGAGAAATGCTGGGCTGGAGGAAGCACAAGCTGGAATCAAGATTGCTGGGAGAAATATCAATAACCTCAGATATGCAGATGACACCACCCTTATGGCAGAAAGNAGGAGGGGAAGGGAACAAAAGAGGATGAGATGGTTGGATGGCATCACTGACTCAATGGACATGAGTTTGAGTAAACTCCGGGAGTTGGTGATGGACAGGGAGGCCTGGCGTGCTGCAGTTCATGGGGTCACAAAGAGTTGGACACGACTGAGCGACTGAACTGAACGGAACTGAGACAACTCAGAGAGTCTCCAGAATGGCAGGGAACCAGCCTCAGAACGTGTTGTGTGCTGAATTGCATGCTCAGTTGCTTCAGCTGTGCCCAACTCTTTGAAACCCTGTGGACTGTAGCCCACCAGGCTCCTCTGTCCTGTGGGGATTCTCCAGGCAAGAACACTGGAGTGGGTTGCCATGCCCTTCTTCAGGGAATCTTCCCCACCCAGAGATTGAACTCGTATCTCGTATGACTCCTGAATTGGCAAGTGGATTCTAAACCCCAGGCTTAGCTACAAAGAAGGACTGGGATAAAACAGATGTCCAGACTGAGATTAAAGGCTGGAGGTTCTCTTGGAGGGGGCTGGAGTCAGGTAAGGCTTGATCCCAGATCTGGCAAGTTGAGCTTGAGAATCCTATGAGTCCTTTATGTCCCTGACAAAACACAGTCCAGAACCTCATTCTTTTCCTGGAAGGACAGAGGGGTCATCAGCTGAGGCAAGAAAAAGCTGGTCGGTGGAGCGAGGGTGGGGCAGCATGTCAGGAGGTAGGTGTGGGATGTGCTGAGGCTGGAAGGAAATCCAAGAGAAGCAGAGATGTTGAGGTGGGGGGAGCCAGGGTGTTCCATCTGGGACATGTTGTCTTTTCCGTGCGGCAGAATCAACCAGACAGTTGGATGGTCAGATCTAAAATACAGGAGAAAGCTCCAAGCTGGGAAGATGGAATCACACATCAGTGTTCTATGGACTCTCACTGATACAGTGGGGAGGGTGGTGAGGAGGCCTTCCAAAACATCACATGGTCCTCTCTCTCTCTCTCTCTCTCTCTCTCATTCCCCAGAAAAGCCTAAGGAGCTGCCCGTTACCAACCTGCCTGTGAGTGCTGGGATTGTGGCTGCTATCGTCATTGGATCTCTTGCCACTGGGTGTATCTTCGTCGGCAGCATTGCCTATCTCCTGGTGACAAGAGGCTGGAGGGCTCAGAACCACAGGTACAGGAGCCCCAGCCCTCTCTCCTTCCCATCAGTTTGCTCCCCCTCCCCTCTTGGATCCCCTTGATTCTTCTTCCCCAAGTCACATCATCCAACTCATACACAATCTCATCCATCCTGGAACCCCTGAGGTAGAGAGGATCTTCCTATCTTGTATTAGACAGAAGTCTGCATTGCAAGGGACAGAGACCTTACCTTTTCACTGGCTTACCAAGTAATAAGAAATGTTCTTGTCCTATATAAGTGAGCTTCAGGTATGGCTGGGTCCAGGGGCTCAATTCTATCAAGAAACTCCTCTGTAGAACTCTCAACTCTCCTTTTCTCTATGGTGGCTCCATTTCCAGGCAGGTTCTTTCCTTAAGGTATGACAAGATAGCTAGCTCTCAGTGGCTCTAGGCTTATATTACACCAGCTCAACCACCCAAGAGGAAAAATAGTACATTTTTCCTGATAGTTTCATCAAAATCCCCAGAGCTGCCTCTCACTGGCTTAACTAAATCACATGTCCTTACATGAAACAATCACCACGGCCATGTCTTAGAATGCAAACTTGAGCTACTTATATAACCGTGGAACCAGAGAAATAAACCCGGCTCCACATGATGAAATGGACTGAGAGTGGGGAAGGTTCCTTAGAAGGAAACCAGATGTAATTGCCAAAGAATGGGAGTGGATGGTGGGCAGGCAAAGGCATCACATGGTGCCTACCTCTGAGGGACTGGGTAGGCAGGAAACAGGGAGAGGCAAAGACACAGAGAGAAGGGGGAGGAGGCCTGTGTTCCCAGGGAACAGTGTATTCATGAAAAATTCCTTTCTCATGAGATCAGCCTCTTCAGAACTTTGTCTCCTACCTTGATTCTGAGCTAAGACGTCTAATTTCACTTCCACTCAGTAATCCCTAGAAAATGAAAGCAGTAACTTTGTCTCCTCCCTCAACTCTTCCTTATGTGTTATAGTTTCCTGACCTTCAAGATTTTGTCTTCCTTGAATATGTTCTAAATTAGGGGTGGCAAACAGCTTTCACCTCCCAGCCCAATTCCGATCAGTAAATTAACCTACACATATTTGTTGAGGGCCCGCTATGGGCTAGGCACTGTTCTAGGCACTAGACAGCTTGACGGATAAAGAGGTCCTGTATCCTGCAACGAGAGAAGCCCGCATGCCACAACTAAGACTGGATGCAGCCAAAATAAATAAGTAAATAAAAGGGAGCTGCAGTCCATGGAATCACAAAGAGAAGGACACGACTGAGCAAACACACACACACACACACACACAAACACCATAGTTTGCCATAGCCTTAGAGACTAGAAGTCATTTACCAAATGGCACAGAACTGGCCCGTGAATGGCAAAAATTTTCTCGAGATAGTGACCCTTACCTGCCTACCTTGTAAGCTCCAGAACAAAAGCTAGACACCGTATCTCTTGACCCTCTGACCAGCTTCCTTCCTACAGGGCCAGTGATTCTAGGTTAAGTTTGAAACATTTCCAATTCTAAAAAATGTTTAACCTTTTGATGATATTTTTTTCATTTATTTTTATTAGTTGGAGGCTAATTACTTTACAATATTGTAGTGGTTTTTGCAATACATTGACATGAATCAGCCATGGATTTACATGTGTTCCCCATCCTGAACCCCCCTCCCACCTCCCGACATTTTTAAAGTTATGATATTTTTAAAGGCGTTGAATCAGATGGGGAAAAGAATTCCTTTTTCTTCTCTTTTTGCAGGATTCTGAGAGCAGCAAATGAATACCTTGATCAGGGTTTTAATGCCTTTCTAGTGCTTGCTAGCTTCTATGAAGAGAAAATCAGCAACATGTGGAGCTACGAATCTAAACCATTGTTTGACTTTTATTTTCTCACTTTCTATATTTATGTCCAGCTGTATGGAGTTTTACTTTCATTCACAACGTAACAGCTTCCAACTGGTCTCCCTGCTGCCACTCCCACCCCACAGTCTGTCTCCCATTCTCCCGTTTAGCAGCCAGAGAGTGTGTTAAAACTGGTCAGGGACTCTCCTGGTGCTTCAGTGGTTAAGAATCAGCCTTGCTATGCAGGGGACAGTTCCCTGGCCTGGGCACTAAGATCCCATAGGCAACTAAGCCCAGGCGCTGCAGCTACTCAGCCAGCAAAGATCCCACATGATGCAATGAAGATTCCCCCGGCCTGCAACTAAGACTCGACAGAGCCAAATAAATAAATAAATCAGTCAGCTCTGGTCCTGGAGTCAAGGCCAAAGTCCACATCATGGCCCCAAGACTCAGCCCAATCTGCCACCCACCCTCTCGCCTTCCTGACCTCACCTCTTGCCACTGTCTCCCTCACTCTCTGCCTCAGCCACACTCCTCTCCTTATTATTCCTTTGCTGTTCCAGCTCCTGCCTCAGGACCTTTGCACAGACTGTCATCTCCTCTTGGAACTCTCTTCTCTTGATTTCTGCACACTTGGTACCCCTGGCTATTTCAAGCCTTTCCTCAGTTGTCACCTTCTCAGTGAGGCATCCCAAACCATCCTGCCTGAAACTGCACGCACACACACACCACCCTCTGCCCCCTGCAGTCTTCATTTTCCTTCATCCCCCTTTTCATTCCCTAATGTTTGATGTCCCATCATTTATTCGAATCCTCCCCCTCCCTCCTCACTATGGTGTCCACTCCAGGAGGCCAGGGGTCTTTGTCAGTCTTGTTCCCAGCTGTGTCCCCAGTGACTTCAACAGTACCCAGCCCGTGGTCAGTGTTTTTATAAATATTTGTTTAGTGAATTAATGAATTGGTGGTAGGGAAGTCATGTACTTTTTAAACAAGGGTATTCAAATGAGCCAATGTAAAGAGGAATATTAAGGAAATCGTGAAACAGGTAGGTGGTGCTGAATCGTTCAGGTGGTCTGTGTAACTGACGAGGTTAAGGATGCCCTGTGTGAGGGGGCAGCAGGGGAAACCTGACGGAGGACCGTGTGGCTGGGAATTATGGGTGAAGAAGCTGGGATGGGGCAGGACTTGGCCTGGGTCATTTTGAAGCAGGGACCCTCTCTCTCTCTCTAGGGCCTGATGGGTTTTCCGGCTTCTCTGAATCTCTCTCCAGCCACCTGAGCATCTTACAATTCTAATAACCTTTCCTCCATGTGCCCCCAGGATAACAACGGCAGAGAAACCAGAGCTGGGCCCCAGTCATCATGCCGGTAAGCCAGAGGCCCCCGACTCACAACCCGGCCCTCCTCCTCTGCCTCCCAGCCAAAAACCCCCTTGTGGTCCCAGTTTGGGGCCTCCCAATCACTTCCCCCACCCAGACCTTGCTGGGACTCCCCAGATTCAGCCCACAGAGACTGAGCACATTAGCGTTCACCCCAAACCTGTTTCTCCTCCTTTTCTCAATGTCTAGTCCTCCCATCCTCTGTCACCACAACACTGGTGGCTCCTGTGCCCCAACGGGTAACAACCCAACCCAAGCTCCATCTTCTGGATCTCCTGACCTAGTTCCTCACTGTCCTCCCAGCTCCCACACTCACCTCCACCCCATTTCTGAGCAGAGTCCTTCTAAATCTCTGACCCTGTCTCTCCTCTGCTCAAAAACCCTCTATGGCTCCCTAGTACCCTTAGGACAAAGTTCAGACTCCTTAACATGACTCTCAAGGCCCTCATAAACTGGTCCCCTCTGTCTTTCTTGGCTTCATCTCTCATATGTAACATTTCCATCCCCGAAACAATACAAAGAAATAAATATATATATTGGGGTCACCAAAAAGTTCATTCAGATTTTTGCACTTTTTGACCTACCCAAAATAACCCAGACAGATAAAACATAGTTCCTCAAACACCAGCGTTCCCACTGCCAGGCCTCTGCACGACCGCTCTCTTGCCTCTGCATGGCTCTCACTTCTCTTGCTATTCTCAGAGGTCCCCTCCTCCAGGAAGTCCTCCCTGACCCCCCTCCAGGAGCCCTATGGGCTCCCCCACTCCAGCTCTGCACACTCTGGGTCATCCCTGACTGGGGACAGGCTTGTCTCCCCCACTGAACGATGAGCCCCAGGAAGGCAGGGCAAGGCCAGCGCAGCCTCAGTCACTACTGTGTCCCCAGCACAGGGCTAGGCAAGAAGAGAGTTTAACACAAATGTTAGTTGCAGCAGCTGGAACGGACCTGTCCTCTGCTTCAGGTGACGACATCTATGAAGTGATGCCATCGCCAGTCCTCCTGGTGTCCCCTCTCGGTGACATGGGGCCCATGAACACCGCCTCGGTGAGCCCCCACCCCTCTCCCCTAAAGCTTACTTTTGACCTGTTGCCTCCCCTCCGAGTGTGCTGGGGTGCCCTAGGGTGCCTTGCCACACAGTTTGGGAACTGCTGTTCCCTGTCTAGGCCACTCCCTATTTTAAAAATATAAACAAAAGAGACTGAAAGGAAACAGCAGAACACAGAGACAGTTTGTCTCCAGGCGTGGCGGCTGCTGGGTGGGCTCCATCTGCCTCTTATAAGTGTGGCAACTTAAGACAGGATTCCTACAAGAGGATTTTCTTGAGTAGATATGAGTAGATATTCCCTTTACAGTCAGGTGGAAAGGGTTGATTAAAGTAAGAAATAAGAAGAGAGACTGGGAATTCCCTGGCGGTCCTGTGGTTAAGACTGTGCACTTTCACTGCCGAGGGTGCAGGTTCAATCCTTGATCAGGGAACTAAGATCTCACAAGCCTCATGGTGCAATCAGAAAAAAGAAGAAAGAAGAAGGTGGAGGCGAAGAAGGAAAAGGGACTTAAACAGTTAAGACTGAAAGCTTAGAACCACATGTGTTGACGGGGAGGCCGAGCATTACCTGGCGCCAGGCCATTGGCCGCACCTCGCATGCACCCATTTCTCAGAGGGGAACTGAGTGCAGGGGGGTTAGGTCCCTTCACTTAGAGGCCTCAGAGGCAGGGAGGGGCGATGGGGACCCGAAGCCCAGGTCTGTCCCGACACCAGAGGGCAAAGGTGGGGGGTGTTGGGGTGCTGGGGGGCCTGGCTCACCCCTGTTCTTCCCCTGCAGCCGCCAGACCTGCCTCTGCCCCCGCCTCCACCGCCCGCACTGCCGAAGCCTGAGCCTGAGCCTGAGCCTGGGCCTGAGCACCACCCCTACCAGGTGTGGAGCTGGGGGCGGGGCGTGGGCGTGGGCGGGGCGTGGGCGTGGTGGAGCGGGACTAGCGGTCTCGGTGGGTGGGGCTTCCTTCCGACCCCGCCCCCGACTCCCGAGCTCCCGGGAAGGAAGTGCGTTGCCCGTTCGCTGAAACTTCCCGGGCAAGTCATTTCCCGTCTGCGGGGCGGAGGGCGGGTTACAGTTTCCTCCTTCGTCCAAGGATTCCAATGCAATGAACTTAGACCGGAAGAAATGAAGCCCAGAGAGGGGAAGGGCCTTGCCTAGGGTCACACAGCGAGTCAGGGCCCACCGCAGGGGCCCCCCCTACCCCGTTCCTGGGCCTGGGTCTCAGCCAGTCGCCCGCTGTCTGCCCTTGAACTGCCTCCGCCTGTGTCCTGTCTTCCGTGTCTCTCTACCCCGTGGGTCTCCCCACCCAGCCCCGCAGCTCCGGTGTCTCTCCCTCCTTTTCTGTGCTCTGCACTTTTTGTTTCTCTGTCTGTCTCACTCTCTCCTTGTCCCTCCTTTCCTGTGTCTCTGTCTCCCCCTGGCTCTCACCCCCAACCACAACAACCCCTCCGTCTCTTTCCCTCCTCTTCCCCCCAGGATCTGCTGAACCCCGACCCTGCCCCGTACTGCCAGCTGGTGCCCGCGCCCTGAAGGGGTCCCAGGAGACGTCAGCCAGGGAGAGGAGACACCTCAGACTTCCCCGGGGGCCTTGAACCCGCAGAAAAGCCTCCGCAGAGATGCAGCACGACCGGGACCCCGGGGCTGTAAGGTCAACAAGATGGACGCAGCCAGTGGCTTAGGCAGCATCCAGCAGGATGGTGACAGGCCTAGCTCCTCACTCCCCAGCTGAACGAACAACTCGCCCTGAGGTCTGGCCCTCCAGCAACCTGGCCTGGGCCCATGTCTGGGAAAAGCAGGCTCTTGCTACCCCCACTCCACTCCAAAGCCCCCCAGAAGGTAGTCTCAGGCCTACTTCCAGCCAGACCGCACAAGCACCTTCTTGGCCAGGCTCCCTCATCTCAACCCACAGCGTCCCACCCAGCTCTGCTGACCTCCCTGGAAGCCCCTTTCCCTGGTCTTCCCATCACACGTGCTCCAGAGCAGAAGGCACATGACTGCAAGTTCTGGCCTCACGAACCTGTGGCCCCAGAGGACATTTCAGGCCAGTTTCCACGGCCACCTTCCCCGTCCAGTCAGATCCAGCCCCTCTTAAAATTCGATCTCTCAGAACCTGTAGCCAGCTTCTGCCCTTTTCCCCCCCATACCCCCAGTTCGGGGCAGCCGCTTTCTCCTCTGCCCCCACTCAACCCTGTCCTCAATGTGGGTTCCATCTCTCGCTCTAATTTATTCATTCATTCAGCAGTAAATAAACTGTGTGCCCTGCACTGTTCAAAACAAACATCCCTGCTCCCCTGGAGGGTCACTCTGGCAACGGAGAGTCAAGAAACAAATAACATATGTGGTGGGTTGACGGGAGGCATAAGGAGAGAAGGAGGGCGGGAGTGTTGGGAGACTGTGTGCGTGTGTGCGTGTGTGCGTGCGCACACACGCGCTCAGTAACTCAGTCGTGTCTGACACTTTTGTAGCCCCATGGATTGTAGACCACCAGGATCCTCTGTCTGTGGCATTTTCCAGGCAAGAATACTGGACTGGGTTGCCATTTCATCTTCCAGGGGATCTTCCCAACCCAGGGATTCTTTACCACTGAGCCACCCATGGTGTGTTGGGGTGGGAGGGATAGAGAAGAGTGAGAGTGTTTGGGGACTGAGGTTTTAAACGAAGGGGGCAGAGGAGGCTTAGCTAAGAAGGTAACAGTGAACAAAGACCTAGAGGAGAGGGAGGGAGCCATGAGGGGATCTAGGAGGAAAGCATTCCAGGCAACGGGAACAGCAAGTGCAAAGGCCCTGAGGCAGGAGTCTGCCTGGTGTGTCCGAGGAGCAGCAAGGAAGCCAGCATGCAGAAGCAGAATAAAGAAGTGGGAAAGGGTGGGGGGTGAGGTCAGGGAGATGGGCAGGGGCAGACCATGCAGGGCGTGTAAGCCCCTGCGAAGATTGGCTTTTCCTCTCGGAGCCGAGAGACAAAGACTGTGTGGTAGGTGGAAGAATGACCCTTGCATTACTTAGGGATTCTGTTACACCCAGCTCCCTGTAAATCCTAATTGAAATGACACCCACATCCATGATGGCAGTACTTTCAAGAGTAAGTTCTCTGAGGCTGACTGTATGCCTTCTGGCTCCCTTGTACCAGCTTTGTTCTACAATAAATTGTGTTCCCCCCAAATTCATGTTGAAACCCTAATCCCCCATGTGACTCTTTTTGGAGTAGGACCTTTAAAGAGATGATTAAGACTCTTAAGAGTCCCCTGGACTGCAAGGAGATCAAACCAGTCAGTCCTAAAGGAAATCAGTCCTGAATATTCATTGGAAGGACTAATGCTGAAGCTGAAGCTTCAATACGTTGGCCATTTGATGTGAAGAGCCGACTTGGGAAAGACCTGATGCTGGGAAAGATAGAGGNCATTCTGGCAGAGTAATATAGGTTCCTAGGAAACGGGCACCATTCCTTCTTCCTCCACCACAATGAAGCCAGATTTAAATATAATGATAACTGGACTCCCCTGGTGGTCCAGTGGTTAGGAATCTGCCTGTCAACACAGGGACACAGGTTCCATCCCTGATGGGGGAAGATTCCACATGCCGAGGGATGCCTAAGCTGCAACTGCTGACTAGACTATGCCTCTCCCTATTTGAATTTAAGTTCTCAGAACAGCTTTGGGAGGCTGGGACTATTGTATTCCCATTTTGTTGATGGAGAGGTGGAGTGACTGCCTCAAGGTCACACATCAAGCATAAGGAAAGACCAATGATGCATCAGGATGGGCTGGGTTATGCTGCAGTAACAAGCAACCCCACACGTTCCATGGCTTAGAATGTCAAGAGGTTCGTTTCTCTCTCTCCTTTGTTTGTTAACATTATTTATTTATTTGGCTGCACCAGGTCTTAGTTGTAGCACGTGGGGTTTTTTATCTTCATTGTGGCATGAAGGATCTTTAGTTGCAGCATGTGGGCTTGAGTTCCCTGACCAGGGCTCAAACCTGGGCCCCTGCATTGAGAGTGCAGAGTCTTAGCCACTGAGCCAAGGAAGCCCATACCCAGAATACGTGCATGTGTACATGCTAAGTCACTTCAGTTGTGTTCAGCTTTTTGCATCCCTTGGACTGTAGCCCGCCAGGCTCCTCTGTCCATGAGATTCTCTAGGCAAGAATACTGGAGTGGTTGCCATGCCCTCCTCCAAGGGATTTTCCCAACCCAGGAATCAAACCCGTGTCTCCTGTGGCTCCTGCATTGGCAGGCGGATTCTCTTACCGCTGAGCCTCCAGGGAAGCCCTCATACCTAGAATTTGGAGAATCAAAATATATGTGAACAGCCCAGTCAATACACCATCAGGATTCATGTCAGAGCCCACGCTCTCACCCACTATACTTTCTGGAGAGAAATTCTCAGGCAGGTCTGCCCTCCCCCATCTATTCATTCAGTGACTCATACATTCATTCAGCAAGTGCTAGACCAGGATGGAGGGGGTGGCTGGGGAAGAAGTGCACAGAGCTGAAAGATATTTAGAATGAAATATTGATATTATATAATTTTATCCTGGATTAGATGTGGCAGATGAAGGAGAAAGGGTGTTGTCAACAATGTGTCCGTTCATCTACTCAACAAATATTAATCGATCACCTCCTGTGTGCAGTGCTTCTAGGCTCTGAGGAGACATCTGTGAACAACCCATAAAGAGACCCCTGCCCTCAGAGAGCTGACAGCAAGCAGCACTGAAGGTAATGTCTGAGGGGAATGAGGGAGAGGGGCTATGAGGGAGAAGGAAACAGATGCCAGGGTACCAAAGTGCCCAGGTGCCTGGCTTGCCACTGAGGGGTAGGGAACAGTGGTGTCATCCAAGCTAGAAGAGGGCAAGGTTTGCAAGAAATGAAGACATACATCCCCACAGAAACGTGTTCACAAATGTTCATAGTGGTGTTATTCATAACAGCTGGAAATTAAAACAACCCAACTGGCTATCAGCAGATGAATGAGTAAGCGTACTGTGATCTACCCGGAGAGGAATGAAATAGGAGCTTCCCTGGTGGCTCAGTGGTAAAGAATCTGCCTGCCAATGCAGGAGACACAGGTTCGATCCCTGGTACGGGAACATCCCACATACCAAGGAGTAACTAAGCCTGTGCACCACAACTACTGAAGCCCATGCTCTGCAACAAGAGAAGCCCCCACAATGAGAAGGCTGAGCACTGCAACTCGAGAGGAGCCCCTACTCGCGGCAACTAGAGACAAGCCCATGCAGCAACAAGAAAGACCCAGCAAAACCATAAATAAGTAAATACATGGACTGAAATACTGATCCACACTACAGTGTGGGGGAAACTTGACAACACCATGCTAAGTGAAAGAAGCCAGACACCAAAGACCACCCAGTGTGTGACTGCACTCGAATGAAGTATCCAGAACAGGCAAATCCAGAGAGACAGAGAAGAGATTAGTTCTGGGCAGGGGGCTGGGAGGGAGAGAGAATGGGGAATGACAGCTAATGGAGACAGGGTTTCTTTTGGGAGTGATGTAAATGTTGTAAGGTTGATTGTGGTGATGGTTGTACAACTATAGGAACACACTAAAACCTTGGCGTGTGCGTTACATCTCAATAACACGGTTTTTAAAGAAAGAAAGGGGGAGGGCTTGGGAGGCCAGTCTTGAGTTTAGTTCAGCAGGGGGAAGGCAGCTGGAGATGCAGGTCGGTGGTGTTAGACTGGGGACAGTGAATGGCAGTGCACCCTGCCGCATGGCTGCCCAGGTAATATCTTTGTCACTGGTTGGGTTTGGGCTTACTGGACCCATCCTGGTTGCCAGGACTTGCCCGCGGAGCCAGCAGGGGGCAGCAGAGGGCAGCGCAGACCACGGGCCAGTGCCGGGCGGCGTGGTGCCGCGCATCCGCTTGCCTCCAGCCTCGGCCCCTTTCTTTGCCCCTCTGGGCGCCCATGGAGTCCACATGGCTGCCCAGACCCCGAAACATGGGCGCCTCCCTCCCTCGGTCTCACTGAGGCAGGCCGCGGACCCAGGCCTTCCCTCCTCTCTGCAGTCACCACAGCTTTCAACTACCTGCCGGGTCTGCCTCCTGGGGGCCCCTCAGTCTTACCTCTCAGACTTCTGCCCCTCCCTCCAACCCCGTGGTCTGTGATCTGAGGGACTGAAATTCTTCAAGAACCTTGAGGAAGGTATTCTCTTCCCTCTGCCTGGAGTATGCCTGTAGCCACACCACCCCCACTGCACACATTTATTCATCCTCCAATCTTGGCTCAGATGCTTCTTCCTCCAGGAAGTCCTCCCTGACTCCCAATCTGGGTCTGATCTCCCATTCTGAGTGCCTGTCCACCACAGCCCTGCCCATGCTAGGTCATCATCACTGTCTGGAGATGGGTTTATCTCCCTGCTGGACTGTAAGTTCCCCAGAGAACACAGTCAGGGTCACCCGATGAGTCCCAGCACCACCCAGCATGGGGCACAGGGTAAGGGCTCCAGGAATGCGTGTGGAATAAGTGAACCTGTGTGAATTCTCATTATCTGTATCTTTTCCTCCTGTGTCCAGCATCTCCATTCATTCATTGACAAATATTTATTCAGCAATTACTATATATCAAACTCTGTTGCGTGAACTCAACTGAGCACCAGAGACAGGAAGATAAACTGGACTAACCCCCACTCTCAGGGAGCTCAAAGTGTAGTGGAGGAGGAAATATGGAAGCCAATGTAATAATAATAATAAATGTTTCATGAGGCTTTGCCAAACGCCATGCAATAAGTGCTTTACTTCTTTATTTTATCCTCAAAACAGTTTCATGAGGCAAGTACTATGATTCCTCCTATTTTACAGATGCAGAAACAGAGGCTAAGAAAGGTCAAATAAGGGACTTCCCTGGCAGTCTAGTGCTTAGGACTCCAAGCTTCCACTGCAGGGGGCATGGGTTCAGTCCCTGGTTGGGGAACCTTTAAGATTCCACATGACCCGTTGTGCGGCCAAAAAAGAAAAAGGTCAGGTCACACAGGCTATAAAGGGACACAGTGGGAATGGAAGCAAAGACTTTCTAACTCTGCTTTATCCTCTGCACAGTTCCAGTCTGAAAGGACGAGGGACCAGGATGTAACCCACACCCACTCAAATGCTGGGATCTGTGTGTCCAAGCAGAGGGAAATGCTTAATCCGAAGGAGGTATTGCTGATGGTGGAATTTCAGGCACTGGCCCAGTTTTTGGCCCGGTTAGGAAGAGACCAATGCCCTTGGCTGGGACTGGGAGCCCCGAGGCTCCTTGGCTCCCTCAGCCCCATCTCTGTCCACTAGA